TTTCTACCTGAGATTTCTTAGATTTGGTAAGAGTTCTTGAATTCTAAATCGTAGAAAAACTATATATTAGGATTTATAATTCAGCAGCAAACAAAAACTATCGTTACTATTATAATCATTTCAATCAATTTGAAAACGAAATAGCATCTAATTTTTTCAGAAATATTTAACTAAATTATAATCACATCAGTACATTGTTAATCATCATTAGAAGCAGGATCTTGAACATATTTTCACACTAACTGATGAATTTTTAAAAATAATCTTCCAAAATCAAACATAGCTTCAGCGTATTTTTTTATATCTTGCGAAATTAAACTTTGTTTTCAAAGATGATTTTCTGTGTTTCTGTATAAAAATAAAGACGACATAATTCAATCATTATGAGAGAGGTATTAATTGAAATAAAATATAAACTAGAATAAGAATTCGTTTAGTGAAAATTTTTTAAAATTTTATCATACGACAAGCGAGGGAACAAAAAAATTTACCGGAGTAATATATTCTATTTAGTAATAGTAAAACAATGTTTAAATGTAAAATTGATTTCATATTTCTTATCTATATTCTTGTATATCAACAGCTTCAAAAAGTAAAAATTTATCGAAGTGTAACTTATCTGTAGACATTTTTCTAGTTAGACAATTTCAGAAGTATTTAAAAGTTATGTAAATGAAAGAGCTTCTGGGTTTTCACTTATTCAGGTATTTTTATTTTTTTCTCCATCGTGTTCCAACAACAACTATAAAGCTCATTCTATTTAAAAAAATAAAACGCTCTATGTGGTCAGTTTCTACGTAATTTGTAATATGCGAGTTCCACATTTCAGCTCGAGCGAGACTGTACTGAAAAGCGTTTTCTATGATGGGTCCATAAGAAATTGAAGTTATCCTGGTCTCGCTTTTCTTTACAAATATAAACCCTCATTATCCTTTAGATTCATTTAATCCCTTTAGCCCTATTACCCCCCTTAGTCCCTTTAGCCCGCCTATTACCTTTAGTTCTTTTAGTCCCTTTTGATCACTTTAGATTTAAAAAGGGATTCAAGAGGCTAAAAGTACTACAGGGATCTAAAGGAATCAAACTGATAATTACCGCTGTTGGAATTGTGGTGGTCCCCTACAATTCTAAGCGGAGATTAAGTTGTCTTTTCTAGTATAACGGTAGTACATCTCCCCGGATGGCAGAGGATGTGTGGTTCGAATCCCACGAAAGGATTATCTTTTTCTCCGTTCTGTGGTATTATCATCTCGCTGTTAGTCCGGCACCTAACAATCGCATATATTTATAAAGGAAAGTTAGACCAGGATAACTTCAATTTCTTGTGGACCTATGACATTTATCTCTATATATATGTGCATATATATTCTTTCTTTTCCAATTCTACTTAAAACGTATGACTTTATGTGGGGTGGCCCATTTCTGCTGAAAATGTGACTGTGCAGATATAAGCACTCGTTCGATCCTAATCAATGTACATAACGACTTTCTCCTCATTGTTATATGTATTCTCTCTTCCTTTTTGTCGTGTTCTTTCTCGTTCTCTCCAGTTGAGTGACGCGCCCCGGAGAAAGAAAGTGTAACTATAAAAGGAGAAGGAAGATTGGAATAAAACAGTTCGATATCACGATAAAACATCTCGTATCGTTACAACATTGTCACACTATCTGCAGAATATTGTTCACGAAGATACAACAGTGTCACATACCCAACAAATCGGGCATGCCAGAGATGCCACGGGAGATGCGGGATACACATCAGTAATACTCCCAGCAAATATAAATATCATAGTTATAAGGAATCCATCAGGCGCAATCTGTATCTGCCGCATCTCCCGATGAAAACATATTTTTTGATTTTTAGCCCATAGACTCCACCTGAAGATTTGTCTCCATAGCGAGAGGGTGAGCGTCGAAACATAGGTAGGCACACTAAATCGAAGTCTTTCGTGGATAGAGTCACATAGGGAAAACACTAGATATACACTGAATCAGGCACAAAAAGGTAAAACAGGCAAACTGCTAACCACGCCAAAAACGCATATCACTCAATGTTGGAGTGCTACCGCGGTAGAGAAGCACGAAAACACATTAACGCATTCACACACTGCCACACCCATCGCAAGTGCAGGTGTCACGAAAGGCGGAATAACTCGTTTACACACGTATACAGCATACCTAATGTGGGTCTGTTGATAGCTGGAAAACGACTGTGTACAGATACGGACGCATCTCTGTTACTCGAATTATCACTCTAACCGTAAGATGTGGGTGTGGGTGCATGCATTCAACTTGCGTCTAAGTAGATGCGCGTGTTTTCATGCTTGTCTACCGCAGCGACGCGCCAATATCGAATGATTTGCATTTTCCACGTGGTTGGTAGTGCGCCTGTTTTTACTTTTTAACCTGTCATTCCCTGCAAATTTAGTGTTTCGTTTATGTAGCTATATCCATGGATGACTACGATTTAGCAAGTCGATAATTGTTTCGGTGCCCACCAGCACCGTTCGCTGCGTCCTATGATGAACTAATTTATGGGTTCGCCTTCCGTGTGAGCTAGACGGCATTGCTGGATGAACGGTTTCCACACTCGATTGTAACCCAAGGATGGGTATTGGTTATAGCCTTGAAATCAGGAAAATGTTTTTCCTCAGTAGTTCCCCGAAGATATGGCGTCTCTGCATCAGAGGCGGCATCTTCCGGAGGGGTCTGGACTAAAAATCGAAAAATGTCTCTTCATCGGTAGATGTCGTAGATGGAGATGCCAGAGATGCAGTGTCTCTGCGTGAGACGCAGAATGTGCTTAAATAATGTTATATACGCATAGTATTTGTATTATGTGTTAGTTATAGTTTTGTGTGTCGGCGTCTCCCTTGGCATCTCCAGGGTGCCCGATATTTCGGATATGTGACACCTCTCTAAACACAAAAATGCATGTTTATCTTTCCTCATTTTTGCTGTCATTATTATCTACACTGCTTTACTATAAAAATCAAACATATCGCTAATGTAAAAATATCGATGATCGAATAAGACTACTTACCAGCCGATATCAAACTGCTTATTTTTTAATGTGAATCTGCAAGAGGTATTACTTTGTATATATAAAGACGTTACACGTTTTTTTCTTTTTTTCTAACATAAAATGTTTACCTGAGTCAATGAAGTGTGACTCTAATTTCACTACTTCTTATTTTTGCATATCAAAACATTGTTTCATGTAATTACACCGCAAGTTCACCAAATAAGTGATCCATATTTTCCTTTCAGTTGTGACCAGTGCAAAAAACGATGGGCATCTTACTATTTCTTTTCATCAAGTTAGAGCGTGGGTGACTGTATAAAGTATCATTAATCAGACCCAGATCTTCACGCCAACACGCTAAGAAACCATTTTTGATGCAAAGGTAAAATAATCAACCCCTGTGCGTATAGTAATAAACCTTAACGATCAAACAATAGAACATTCGATCTCTGTACGTAGAATGATAAACCCTTTCAATGAAAGAGAAGTAGAATCAACCCTCAACCGACGATGGAACTATCCCTGGAGATGCTAAGGTATATCAGTCGATGTCAGTCGGTAGAATACAAAACCCTTGTCCCTGAAAAGGTATATAATAGAGCATTCATGTACAGTACTAAACCATTTTTATTAAGATGTAGATGAATCAACTGTTAAACGTAGAATACTAAACCCAAAAAGGGTTGATGAAAGTGCAACGTATAATAAACCCTTTTTCCGTTTTAAAAATTTTCATAAACCCTTTAAGGGTTTATGATTATGTGGAAAATACCCTTTAGGGTTTATGAAAATTTTAAAAAACGGAAAAAGGTTTTACTATAAGTTGCCCTTTCATCAACCCTTAAGGGTTTAGTATTCTACGAATTTTTTTTACAGTGTAGCTTACTCTACCGAGAAAAGTAGAGTGATGTACCCTTTGAACAAAAAAGTAAAATAGTAAACCTGATGACGAAGAATAAAATACCCTTACCTTGAAAGTGAACAACAATCTACTATCATCCGTTGAAGGATATGCTCTTATCTTAAAATCGTAGAGTAATGAATCCTTATGTACCCATCATATACCCCTTGAGTTTTCATAAACCTATAGCGTCATAGATCCTTCGACTAATAAACCCTTCAAGGGTGTAATGGCGACTTTTTTAAGTGCAGGGGTAAATCATTACCCGGATTTTTTTATCAGTGTATATAAAGTCGAGATTGGTTCATCGATGATGCCCATGCTGAAAATAAAATTCTGATTTATATGATTCGACTAATTTTATAGGATTTTCGTTTATCTGCTTATCAAAATATTTTTGATTTATTTCATCATAAATCTACAAATGATATTCGACGTTATTTCATAAAATAAATATAACTCTATTCAATTATCAATTCTTCATGTAAGTTGCCTAATATTTTCTGTTACTAGAGAAATAATTCCAGAGTATTCTTATCAAACCACGATGGACTTGTTTTGTGTAGTCAATGATTATATTGAACAATTTTTACATAAAAGCAAATGATTTACACCATTTTTCACAAGATTATTAGCCAACTTTGATTCTTTGAGAATTCGAATAAAACACTTACTTTAGAGAAAAATCGTGACGCAATCGCACAATAGTGTGGCGATTAATTAGGATAATATAATTGGTTGATTCAAATGATGTCTACCTTGGCTTTAGTTTGTTATGGATGAAATGTTTTGAATTTATTCCGTGAATTGAAAATTAAAATAAATCTGATATTTCAAATGAGTACTTATATAATAAACTAAGAAAAAACAACAGGATATACTAGCTACCAGTCAGGTTGAAATCTGTGCCGGTACCCGTACCCGTTCTCTCTCTGTTATGCAATATAGTTTAAATGAGCATAAAGAACACTGTGATTAATAATGACGCACACACTGTTACGTAATGTAATATTCAAAGTAAATATGTGATTTTCGTTTCTTGACATTTTAAAGTGGCATGAAGTTTTACCTACCATTAATAAACGTTAACATCACAAAACGTGGGTTGACCTCCTGTGCCTGTAGCTTTCAAATAGAATGAAATGTTATATGTAAGACCGGGTGTGGCTGTAAAATGTTGTCCGAAGAAGCTATACGTAAGCTCAGGACCGCATTGATATCGTACACAATTACTACCACTGTTGCAACTACTAGTAATTATTTGTGTTGCATTCGAGCTGCAGCAACTTGCACCCACTTGATTCCACCCAGTAGCTGTCGTTGATGAATTTTCGAAGCCAAGATTCGATAGTAATTGAGTAGCAGGTGCACTAACATCGACAACAGAGACATCGTCTAAGAGAAAATAGCGATGATTAACTTGTTTCCATTGCAAATGTAGGAAATGGTTGGGTTGTATTAGCCGTATAAGTAAAGGAAAATTGAGTCCAGTTAAATACAGTTCCTCCATTGTATTGGGCCAAATACCCGGTATATGAACTTGGACAGGCTTTTGCTAGAATGAGATTCACTGATTAAAAAAAACAAAAAAAACATTAACATGCTAGTTGTTGTTGTCACCGTCGTCGTCGTTGTTGTTGCAGCTACATATGTAGAGAAAATGATAATCGATGAATTTTTATTAGTTTCTTTTAATAACTGAATTTAGTGAGAATATTGACAGCGAAGTGAGATATGAACAGATGCTTGCTGAAACTCGGTCAGAAAATTGTCTAGCAGCTGTAACTTTAATAACTCGAAAAAGCTTGCTAGCTCAGCCCCTTTGGGGCTAAAATGTGGAACTCACATATATTCCTTAGGCTTACTAAAATAATTTAAAAGAGCTCATGTAAAAAGTCTACTTTAATTTCCAAAATCTATAATTAGGCCATTACTTATTTGCTCATGCCTGTATTGGAGTATTAATTGTTAGCTAGTATCTTTAGCAATGGTAGATACTAGTTGCTATGGTCTGAAATGGGCAAACATGACTTTTTCGTGTAGTCTGTAATCAAATAAAGAAGAAATAGCAGCCTAATTAGTCAAGTTCCTAATTAGCATAATTTTAAACTCACTAATGTCTGTAATGGGGAGAGGTGGGGAGGTGCAAAAATCTCGCTTTTAAACTTACACTCACCATTTTCTTCGAAAATATATGTGACTTCCGAAAAATTAATGAAATATTAAAATGGGAATTTCACTATTGCGTAACCAAAATAGGATGATGTAATGATGCTCAGAATAGGAATTATATATTGCTTATACCGTCTCTCATTTTCGCCAATTAGCAGGCAACGCTCGTTTGATTCGAAATTCCAAATGTTATGATGAAAAGGTGGAATTCGGTCTGCGTTTTCTACCTTGAAGGAGTGAGTTTCTATCACGAGAGTCAATATTGCTTTTGTTGAAATGGCCCGAAAGTAACATCATTGAATAAAGGCACATTGCATTTTTTATCTATTTATCAACATTTATCGTTACAAGCTAATAAGGTACTTTATGGGCTGCTAAATGAATATAGGAATATTTTCAAGATACAGACACGTTATGCTGTTAAATCTGTCTAACTTGTTGAATACTTAGTACTCCAGCATATGTCACAATATCAGTACTGAAAAACACAATGAAATTGTAATGAAGCACTTGAATGAGCAAAGATTTAGAATTGGATTCGACTGTTCCGTAAAAATTTCCTCAACCCGATGTGCTGATCTAAAATCGATTTGGTCGTGTGTCAGAAAGATCGAGTACGCAAGAATACATTTAAAGAGCAGTAAAAAAGGCCCTACGTAGTATAGATCCACGTAAGCACACTGTCAAATAATGATTGAATATAAACACCGAATGAATTCTAATATTCTACCGAAATCAAAAAAATCTTAAAGTCCTGACGAGATTTCTCTTTCTCAGTTAAGAGGACAAGCCATTTTATTTGATAGTATCTTTAGATTTGTTGAACTTTAGCTTTGGATTTTGTTAATAAAAGAAATAGGTAATCGTTGTTTTACCGAAAACGTTTCTTTTGTTCAGATGTTTGCTTATAGCGGCTGTTTGGTGTTTGTTTAATGGTGAATGAGAAGTTCATTAGATTAGGCGGATTCGCCCTGTCTTGTGTTTGTGAATCCGGCAAAATCCGGTGATTTTCTCGGCTCAGCCTTTGGTCTGCTGGTATTTTGTCAGAATCCGAACTTGTGAAAATCTTCTGTCTGCTTTAGATTTTATCCAAAGATTTCCCTGGCAGAATCTCATGATGTATTAAAGTCTGATCACTTGTTCTGGGTGACGACTAGATATACAATTTATCTGTGAACAATGAACTATTTCGATGAATTCTTACACGTACCAATGAGACTTGGGGAATTCCATTTGGATTATTGATTGGTTTAACTTCTGTTTTGGCTACGCGACGAATCGAAGGTCGATAGGGACCAACAATAACTTTTGGCAGATGCATCAATCGTGTTGCTCGTTTCATCTGATTTCAGCCTTTCTGTAAAAATAATGATTTCTATTTCAGTGAGTGTTGATGTTTGCTTTCAACACAAGTTTTATTTACAAGATGAAATGAAGAATACAATGGAAATTTATTTGAGTACGAACATATTTATTTGTTTATTTTGAATTCAACGTCAAGAGAAAATAGACTTGCCAGTAATCAAGCGTGTTTTGAATGAGTATAATTAACTCTAAAATGAAAAAATAACAACAAAGTCGTCTCAGCAATTTTCGCCTACTGAAACATTTCTGCTGATTCAGATTCTGAATATAATTTAATTGAAAAGTTTCATGTGTGAGTTGACACCCTGAATTATGTTTTTTTTAGCTCAGATTGCGTGCAATACCACTTGCATGCGAAGCGATTTATCATCCCACACAGTTCTTTCGAATATGATTACCGAAAGCGAGAACGAGAAATCATTCACGGCAATGGTTTCTTCACTTTCTTGGTATCGATAAATTATTCTATCTTGCCATTGGGTTTCACACAAAGGCCCATCTGACTAGATTGTTACGCAGAAGCGATAAATAATAGATAAAAATCGTGGAGCATCTTTTTTCAATGTACTAAATATTTATCGAATGTATTGGTCAAATTGAAATTTTTAGTGTGTAAAAGTTTTTAGGACACATTAATTATTAATTTAATATGAATTTAGTTCGATTTCTGAGAATCCCTGAAATTCGATCACTCATAATATCTACAGGTGTGATCATCAAAATTAGTTTGGTGATCTTGCATCTCAGCCTGATTGACGAAATGAACAGTCAATAACTTATGAGATTTCTGTTGATTAACTTCATCGTGAAGAACTGACAAACGTTCTCGATGAATGCAACATCGGGCAATAATAACGGACAACCCCCTTTTGCACTTTACCTTTCATTTTCTACATGATTCTACGTTTTGAGTGGTTGCGTATATTTCTTTCAGAATTTTTTTTCCAATTATGACAGCTTGGTTTGTTTGATTTTAAATATTCTGTTGGCAGGTGTATATAATCATCAGCAACGCGAACAAATATTAAACTAACTAATAGAACACCAGTAACAAATAAGTTTTTATAGCTTGAAGCTGTATGTTCATGCAAGACACTATCTTTCTATTTTTATTTTATCCCAGCGCACGCATGACTTAGAGAAATCTTGTTTTCTTGCTAGTTAATTTTCTTAACAACGGTAGCTGATGTGTATTCGCTTTCTCTCAATCTACACATCCACATTCTCAAGAAATTGTTTTTGGGAGACCATCAAGTATATCAACATAATGCATACGAGCATGTTCAAATATGGATAAATTCATAGCAACCAGCGCTAAATGACTTTGTTTACACATAGACAATGGTGGTTTAAAACCATCAAAAAAATCTGATACATTGATCATATCGTAAAAGTCGTGAGTCTCGTGAATCTTAACGTTGCCATTTTTAATAATTTACATATCATAATCATCATCAATGAAGCGCTCTAGTTAGAAAAAACAACACAAAAATAATAAAAAGATTTCTTTCTATTTATATTTTAGTTACATATCGTCGTCATCCTGTGAAAATTTTTGTAATATCTACCTAGATAATAATACGAAATCAGAAAGTTTCAGAACAAAAATTTTAATGGCAGTTGATCATCTTACATAAGCAAAAAAATAACATTTCAAATATTTAATAAATAAATATTTTAAATTTAATGCAATTTATTTGAAAACATATTTAATAGTAAATCTAAATTAGTATCAATGTGTCATGAATTTAAAAAACTGCATTTTTTTCTTTGAAATTCTCAAGTTTTTGTATATTCGTGTATTACAAATTTTTAGTATCATTTACAGATTGTAGCTGTGTTGAATAAATCATTTTTTTATTCTGAAAATCAAATATAACAACTTCGCTTCATTTATAACTCATGGAGTACTAAAATTAATCGGATTGATATTATATCAAAGTATAGAAATTAAATTTACTAATTTGCATTGGTTTGCACCTATGCAGAAACGAGATCAAAAAGTTATAATTCACGTTCGATGTATGTACTTAAAACTTCAGTACAACACTACAAAAGACTATAGGAATTTTTTATTTTAGGTAATTCAAAAGGAGCAAGCAACTGTTATACTCAATCGCGTGTGTGTTTCAGCTTGTTTCTCTCTCCTTCAAAGGAAATCACGTCTGACCTTATGTCCTGCGAGTCTTAGTTCGCATGTTTGTCTTACCATGATATCCACACCAACTAATAATACAGCTAGCCCCTGATAGTCCCTAATCCCTGCTGAACTACTTAAAATTGAAAGCATTTCTATAGTTTCGTATGTACGGTTAGCTTTGCGCCGAATTATTTTATAATTCAAACACATCCTCTAGTCTAACTTATAGATAACCTTGTTGAGAGCTAAGAAAAACAGAAAAGAACTTATTGGATTAACTATTGCAAAAGATAGATGACTCTTTCTATTGATTCATTGTGCTGGAAAAGTTCCTTAAATTTCCCCAGGAGCTACTCTGGGTTGCTGGTAGCCATCTATTTAGATGCAGAGCCTGACACTTCTGAAATGCTAAATATTAGTTGAGAAACTTCACATACTTCTATCAATAGAAATTTCAAATTCATAGAATCAAAACACACGTTTCAACGTCATCTCGATTAATTTTGAAGAGATTAAACTATAATTGTATATATACACTTTTTACTCAGATGTTGATTAATTACAAATTTAATATTGAAAATACGACTCCATATTGCTAATGTTCTTTTATTCTTGTTGATAACCATGCATTACATAAAAGATTGTGATAAAACAATATCAGAACAGAAGGATGAATTCCATGATATTTTCCTTCTCTGATAATAATATAATTATAACTCTACTAGTGTCGTATGTGCGCAATAGGCCAGCATAGTTACTTAGTTCAGATAAAAGTAAAATGTTTTACACAAGATACAAGAAGAAATCTGTTGATCCAGCGTTTTTTCTCTAGTTTAATCATAAAAAAGCATTAAACAGTTGCAAGTCTCTTGAACAAAAAAGCGAGTCGATGTACGTCAATCTGATGAATAAGAACTGTTGACGTTTTATTTCTCGCATCTATTCTTAACAGTTAGAAGAAAAACATCGATCATGTTTCTCCTAAGAAGTGTTGTTTATTTCATACTATTCGTACCCGGTTTCAATAATTATCCTCAAATTAATCTTTACATGACTGATGAAACCATCGACGACAAAATGATAGATACTACACATCAACATAACTGTTTGTATGTTGACACCTCTATGAATGATGAGAGAAGTGCAGATCAAGTAATTTCCTATTGCATGAGTGAACAACCATCAAAATGGCACATACACGCAAGTAATCACGATGAAGTTTTTACGTTTGCTGAACTTTATCAACGAAAGATCACTAGTCATCAGTTATGTACGTGGTCAGCACCAATGGATGTTGTCGAGAGATATCAATTGTATTTGAATGAGCTTACTAACTCGAATCAAACATCAATGAGCACACAACTTTTCTACAACTGCACGTTGCCGTACTTTGGTTCGGTATGTCAATATTCGATAGATGGCTACAATCCTCATCAATCGTCATTATATGAAATCATTAATCAATTCTATTCGTACGAATATGAATCGAATACATTTACGTGCTACATTCATGTGCAATGCAATCGTGGCCAATATCCATCTTGTCTTGATTGGAGTGAAATTTGTGATGGGAAAATTGACTGTATGGATGGTGGACTTGATGAAGAACATTGCTGGCAACTTGAAATCAATAACTGCGAAGAGGATGAATATCGGTGTAGAAATGGACAATGTATACCCTATACGTTTTTCCGCGATGATCGTTTTGTTTCTGATTGTCTCGATGGATCTGATGAAGTTACAAAAACTCCTGACATACTGGATGAGTGCGATAGAAGCGAACCAACACTTGCATGCGAAGATATTGTATGTGCGATCAACTCTGACTATGTTCACAGTCCTTTAACGAGTTCATGTGACAAAAAACGCAACGATTTACTTTTGAAAACCATGTTCTTGAAAAAGCCAGACTCAACATCTGATTCATGTTGGTCAGCATTGATATGTATTCTTCAAATTGAACCGATGCCCATCAGCGAACCATGTATAGCACGTTGTCGAACTGGAGCTTGTGATGAAATAATTAAAAGTACATGTCCAGATATGCTTTATCTACCAACCGTTCCAATTATTTTTAATGAAGTCTACTTTGTATACAAAAAAGAGAACACACGATTCTCCATGTTATCAGCACCTGCACCCGACTATGTCTGTTTCAAAGGTCAACTTTGTAGGGAATTCTTCTCGAAATACAAGCATATCCTATTGCAAAATACAACATGTTATAGTCCTACGTCTTTAGGATTGAGATATTTTCGAAGTAGAGGTACGTGGGTTCATCTATATGTTACACCTCTATTAAAGTTACTTCATAAATGCTATACAATAGTGAACATTAGTTCAACACTGTGCAATCGATCAACTATGTACCAATGTGTGAACTCATCAAAATGCATAAATCAAGATCGTCTAAACGATGGTATTGTAGATTGCTTTTATCTTGATGATGAACAATTCGATGTACCCAATAATACTTATTCAATAGAACGAGTACAAAAACGTTTCAAATGCCAAAACACAAACCAGTATATTTCTTATCGACTTATCAATGATGGTAAATGTCACTGTAATGAATACGAGAAGGGATTATGTGATGACGAATTTTCCAACGTTCACTTTTCGCGAAGTCATATTTCATTTCAGACAATATGCGATGGTTTTACTGAATTGATACCGATAGTTATTGATGGAAGAAATGAAACAGATGAAACAGATTGTGAACAATGGTACTGCAATAATACATACACACGCTGTAATGGCTTTTGGAACTGTCTCAATGGAGCCGATGAAGTCGATTGTGATTTACAACCATTATTAACTTGCCCACTTCTTCATCACATTTGTGTTTCAAATCAAACGAAACAGCTTACATGTTTGCCTATCAAGAAAGCCAATGATGGCAATATAGATTGCATTGGTGCCACTGATGAACCTATCTTATGCCGAGAAAAACAGTATAGACATACTGATACTTATTTTTACTGTGGAAAAGACAGCCAAAGAACATGTATTTACTCTAGTTATCTTTGTGATCATAATGATCATTGTAAATACAGAGATGATGAGCTATTCTGTGATGAAAATCGTAACGTCACAGTTCGCAACACCATCTGTGACATGTGGAATGTAGACAAGAGATCTTATGTGGAACAATTCCTTTGTGAACAGCCACAAGATACACATAAACCAACTATTGTGCATTTTCAACTTAGTAGCGATGGAAATTCGATTAATAACGCAAATAAATCAAACGAAAACAGGATTCATACGCATTTGTTCAGTCGTCAAGCTCGTCAAAATTGTCATCGAGGATTTCCTTTACGCGTTTGGCTAGACAAAGACAGGAACTTAACCATAACAACATGCCTTTGCCCGCCAAGCTTCTATGGCGACATGTGTCAATATCAAAACCAACGCGTAAGTCTCACCCTACAATTTCGAGCTTTATCTGATGCGTGGCGAACGCCTTTTGTTCTTGTCGTTCTTCTTATCGATGACAGCGATGAAAAAACTATTCATTCTCATGAACAAATCACTTATCTACCTATCCGAGACTGTCATGTCAAATTCCATGCTTATTTGTTATATTTGTTACGACCGAAAAATCCTTCAAGAAATTATTCAGTACATATCGATATCTATGAAAAGTTCTCATTGGCTTATCGTGGCAGTTGGTTATTATCATTGAGATTTTCATTCTTGCCCGTACACCGTCTTGTTGCGCAACTAGACATCCCGCCTAATTTTGTTAGCATTGAACGTTGCTCAGATAAAAGATGTGTCCATGGTTATTGTACCAGATATTCGAATAAACAGAATAACTATACTACTTTTTGTCGATGCCAACAAGGATGGTCTGGACAATACTGTACTATTCCACACACTTGCAAATGCTCAGCAGAGTCACTCTGCATTGGTCCCTTAGCTAATAATCGTTCATTATGTGTTTGTCCCACCAACCGCTTCGGTTCTCAATGTTTGCTCAACAATACGTTATGTGAACTTGATCCAAATACAAAATGTCTCAATGGTGGACAATGTATTCCAGTCGGTGAACATATTGGATCTGAAAGAAAATTCAAGTGCATTTGTTCGAAAGGTTTTTCGGGAATTCAATGTGAAGTAGCTGACACCAAAATCATTATTTCATTCCATAAAAATATTCCGGTATCACAAGCGATGCTTATACATTTCATTCGAGTTATTAATAATACTTCACCTGAACGTGTAACCACATTCAAAGCTATACCTGTTCATCAAAATTCAATTACGGTGTATTGGTCCCATCCATTTCATCTTATCTTTCTCGAGCTGTTAAATAAAAGTTATTATTTAGCTGTTGTTCAAAAACAGTTTCAATCATCGATGCAAATTCTTAAGAAAATCGATCCATCAGATCGTTGTGAACACATCAATGATCTATTCAATGAAACAATCATCAAATTACATCTGATTCGTCGGATTAAATACTATCATATTCCATGTCAAGAACATTTCTCAAACTTATCTTGCTTTTATGATGATACTCATCTATGTTTGTGTGAAGATTACGGTTCACGTCGGCTAGCTAATTGTTTCGAATTCGATCATCAGATGAAAATGGACTGTCTTGGTCAAAGTGGCTGTGAAAATGGAGCTCAATGTTTTCAAGATAGTCCAAATTGTGCGCAAACCTCAATTTGCGTTTGTCCACCTTGTTTCTATGGAGTAAGATGTCAATTTAGTACCAGTGGTTTCGGTCTGTCACTTGATGCTATTTTGGGTTATCACATTTTACCAAATGTCAGCATACTACATCAGCCATCTGCAGTACAGTTCAGTGTAGTTTTGACTATCATCATGGTTGTAGTAGGACTGATAAATGGCGCATTCTCTTTAATCACTTTTCAAAATAAGACGCTACGCGAAGCTGGTTGTGGTTCCTATCTAATAGGATCATCTATTACTACTCTACTGACGATGACTCTTTTTGGTTTGAAATTTTGGATACTTCTCAGTTCACAAATGTCCCTAACAATTAACAAAGTCTTCTTATATGCACAATGTCTAATGATTGATTTTCTTATACGAATTTGTCTCAGTATGGATCAGTGGTTGAATGCATGTGTAGCTGCTGAGCGAGCAATAACTGCTTTGCAAAAAGCTCGGTTTAACAAGACGAAGAGCAAGACAATAGCTAAATATGTCATTATTGCACTTTTTGTTTTGACAACTAGCACTGCTATTCATGATCCAATTCATCGACGTCTTTTTGATGATAAAGATAATGACGAAAAACGAATCTGGTGTATTGTTACTTATTCTCCTCGTCTCCAACAATTTAATTCGGCTATTCACCTTTTTCATTTTTTTGCTCCATTCGTCATCAATCTAATATCGGCCGTGACAATCCTCAGAACAAAAGCGAGACAAAGAGCCACCGTTCAGCCTCATTGTACTTATGGACAGCTGCTACGTGAACAATTCCAACAACACAATCGTCTTGTTATAGCTCCATTTATTTTAGTCATTCTTGCTTTTCCACGTGTTGTTATTTCGTTTGTTTCAGGCTGTATGAAATCTGCTAAACAATCATGGGTATTCCTTATAGGATATTTTATATCATTTTTTCCGCCGATGTTTACATTTTTAATCTTCGTTTTACCATCAAAATTGTACACTGAAGAATTTCGTAAAAGTGTAAAAAAATGTTGGAATATGATAAAAATGTAATAAATATCTCATTATCCTTATAGGTTGGTTAGAAGGCAATATGTTCACCTTCACATTTTTTCATTCGCAATAGACTAAACTATATATGCATTCGAAGCATAGTCCAAAAATTAACAAATTCAAATTCGACTTCTGATAAAGTATATTAAGGATAGACATGCTAGTGCTTGGTGTAATTCAAGATTAGACTGACAAGAATCAACGCTTTCAAAATCAATTATAATGTTTTGATATGATTTACAAGCAAATGGTAAACTTTGTAAAAAATCGTACATCCGTAGATATTTTTTCTAGATATGAGAATATTATATTCCTAACTAGGATTTTGATTCTTTTGAAGTTCACCAATGTATTTGAATATTAATAAGGATTTAATTCCCGTCTATGAGTGGAATTCAAAAACAGTTGAATGCAGAAATTTTTCATGATCAGTATACCATTAATTTCAGTTTTTGATGGCATATCAGTTAAATCGATTAATATGGTCATATGGGCGTCTGATTTGCATTGGTAGAATCAATAACAATAATTTAGTAGTTCCTCAACTCGGAATCGCATGGAAATTTGTCGACTGATAGGATTCGATTAGATTCATTCACGTGGATATTAAATGTATAAACTATAACTAACTGGCCCGAAACTAATATGTAGAACCGTCGAATGAAGTTGATTAAGACCAGTCAAACCCATATATTATAAAAGATATGATTTATCAAATTAAAATCAATGGATGTTAGAAATATTTTAGATGATTAATGTATGTAGCATTTTGGTAATGTACATACTGTTTTAGTGATGCCAATCTATTTTTTGTTACAAAATCATACACAATGCACAAAGGGTCAACCCATTTCCAGCACATATTGGACTGAATCATTCCACCTTTAGGTTACACAAAACTCGTTCTAATGGTGTACAATACATAGAAATCGGTTGAATTTTAGTGGGAGAAACTGTCTGTTTAAATCTTGAGGGCCATAGTAACTAAGAATCACCAAATTTTCTTCGTTTGCTATATACTAATTGAACACATACTCTATCATCATATAGAAATCAACTTGTTCTTTCTAATAATGTACCATCAAGAAAATTGTATAATCATACGTGCGTCCAGAAATGGCGGGAAAACAAATGATCGAATAAATTTGGCCCATGAAAAACTGATTGCATGCTTTTTTCGTTTTCATAAAAAATGAAACATACGAAATTTTGACTTAAGCCTGACCATAAACACACGAGACACCATGGTAAAAGTCGCAGATATCTAATTAGCTAATTCCATCGCTCAGAAGATATAGAATAATTAATATTTTTTATACAGTGGTCGAATAAGTTTGGCCACCACTGTATGATATATGACTCATATCACTTTAACTCAAAATCATTTTTCTCCTCTCATACAAATATTGTATATTCGTATATAATTCTAATATATGAAATATTATTTTAATCAAGTAATCCACGTACTTCAAGTGGAACCCTTTATGTTCTATTCCATAATGTCTATATGTCTTGAGTCATTCATTCGATTCAATTAGTTTGAATCAACGAATAACTTATTATCAATTCGAATTCATCGTTTCAATATGCGCTGAATCCAAAGATAAAGTCTATATTCGTCTTTTGCGAAAAATAAGACTTCCCATGGCCAACGAAAGTCAAGAAACATATGAAAAAGTCAAACCTTGCCCTGATAAAAACTGTTTCGGTTGCCATATCACAATTGACATGTAGCATATGTTAAAGAAAATCAAATGAATAAAACTTATCATTATCATTCAGGGGTTACTTCATTTCTATTAGCCAACAATGCTACTACCTATATGTAAAGAAATCTTAAAAACTTGATTAAAAATCGACTATCATGTCATGATTACTGCTTTATTTTAATCAGATTATGATGATACAATCATAATCGATTGTTTGTGTGATTTTAAAGCGTGCCCTTTTAACAAGGATAATCATGCATATGATTTTTCTTTCATGTTAGATAGCGCAAGCTCATTATATTTAATCAAGCCTGAACAGTCGATACCAACTTGCATGGCATACAAAAAAATATGAGCAGTAAAATGAACAACATCTGGTGAGAGAGATCACAATAATTTGCACTCGTATTTCATGCGATTCATAGAATTTTCTTCAAGTAGAATATAATCTAAGGAATATTTGCGCCTTTAATCTTAGGACATTGAATTTTTCCAATTCCACGAGAGAAACAATGCCATAGGAATTGTAGACGGTAGTTCTGAAAATTTCAGTGAATGGGGAATAAGATTGAAGTTGTTTAATGGTAAATCGAACATCTCAAGATTAGGGGTGTTACTTTATATTTACTCTACTTTTTAAAGATAACGATAATCTTTATCTTTATAAAATAAAGAATAAAGAAAAATATTTTTCCTTAAAAACCCAAAATTTGGTCTTCTTCCGATAGCTCGAAGAAAATTAAGAAGTGCAAGGCTATTAAATGTTGAACACTAGATTTTTTTTCCATAAATGATTTATGCCTCACCATCATTTGCCCGTATTGTTTCATACTGCAACGTCAGTGATGACAAGCAAGAACTGCAATCAATGTTTTCTGTTGTTATACAAATTATTCATCTATTTACCAGTGACTGTAGAAAATCTTTCTTTTTTCTTTCTTTTAACTTTATTTTTATAAATAAAGATTATCTTTATCTTTATTTTATAAATATAAAGATCAATAAAGATAAAGTAACACTTCTACTCAAGATACCCCTTGTATAGTCTTATATTATGCTACACGAGAAAAACTCTTCGTGTTAACCATGCACACCAGTGCTGTCACGAGAATAGCAATGGCGGTGTACTTTTTGGCAAAATGTCACGATATAAAAATGCTAGACAGATTGTTTTTAACCAGCTGCAGGAGTCTTATGAGTTACTTTTAAAAAAGAAATTTTCAAGGCCAATCATAAAGTAGTTGAGTTGATGAAGCGAAATCCTATTACTCTAATATCACTTATTGTATGAGATGAGTACTTTTTATTGGTATATTTGCACTTGCGGAAATCCTGCGGAAATAGTTGATAAGACACGATATTGTGAACAACAATCAAAGTTGCATGATGTAACGTTGTCAAGTATAAATTATTTTAATTTTGAAGGTAAAGTAATTGTCTTTTTCTGTTTTCTTCACAGAAAACTGCATTTGCTGAAAACAAACTAGCACTGCTTGCGAGAGTGTAACACCGGTAACCTACCTACTATTTTCGTTGATAGAAATAAAATTAAGCTAATGTCAACTCCACCATCCGATGCTCTACTTATTGCTTATTTGAACAATGTGCTTGCACAAATAAATTTCTATTTTGGAATGTTCATATTTACTTTTGGTATTGCTGGTAATATTCTGAATATTCTGATCTTATCCCAACGACCGCTTCGCACAAACTCATGTGCAATCATTTTTTTTGGATCATCAACTGCTGGCATTATTGCAATTGTATCTGGTCTTGTTTCTCGAGTATTGTCTGGTGTAACAACTGATTTATCAGCAACAGTTAATTGGATTTGTAGACTCCGTGGCTTTATTATATTCTCATCACGAGCAGTTACATTTTGGTTGATTATGTTCGCAAGTGTTGATCGATGGCTTCTATCATCTACGAATGCTCTTCGTCGACAACTGAGTTCAATGAAAAATTCTCTTAGAGGCATAGGTATCATTACAATCATATCAATTATTATACATTCGCAACTTTTCTATTGCTATGAAGCTAATCTTGTTGATACGCCATTACAATGTTTTACAAAAAATATTCCATGTCGACTAATGAATGATTTAACATTTGCAATAATTACTATTCTAATTCCTTTGATATTTATTATACTGTTTGGCTTGATGACTATATCTAATATGCGACTAACTCGAATTCGTGTTGAACCTACAGCTGTAGCTATTGCAAATGTGGCTACCCAGAAGATTTCCACTCGAAAGAGTTCAAAGAAAATAGATCACCGTTTATTTAGAATGCTTTTTGTTCAATCAGTCTGTTTAGGTTTATTTACTTTACCACTTGCAATTGAAAAACTTTATGCAACATTAACAATGGATATGCAAAAATCTGCATTGCAAACGACGATTGAAAATTTTATCTATCAAGTTGCACTGATTAACACGTTTTTTGCAGTCGGAATGCCATTTTATGTTAATATTCTTGCTGGTGGAAGCATATATAGAAATGGTTTATTCTCTCTCAAAAACAAAATCGTTCGCAAACTAATGTGCACTCAGCGTTTGCCTCAAAATACGCAATAAAAGCATATATTTTTCTTCGAAGCAAAATAACTCATACTCAGAATATTTGAAACATTAAACTTCGCTCATCTAATAGATAGTATTTTCAATATATTGGCAACATTAAAAGCTCTAGGTATCACATGTTGGCCTATGGAATGGGCAGTAAGCATCATTTAGAATCTTGTAAACTTCTTTATATTAGAAAATAGATTGAACAAAATGCAGACAACATTATCATTTCTCAAATTCATACAGAGTGCTAAAAATAAGGTCAACGGCCAAATAGGAGAACACATAAGAAGGCAATCTTCATTTTGTACTAAGATGTGGAGGAAGAGAAATCTGTGAAAAGTTAAAAGGAGTTGACAAAGCTTTGCTGGAATTACTCTGGTTTGACAAAAGCACAAGCCCCTCAATAGAATGTCTCAAATATTCAAGCAGCTATAATCAACAAAAACTGAGTGCACAAAGACATTCAGAATAATTATATTGCGATACACAGAAGAGAATTTGGACAAGCACTGCATATTTAGAAAAAAATGATGTCAAACGAATCCTGTGAAGTTTCGTAACAAAAGAGGTTTCTAATAAAGTCTCTCTCGATTTTCCTAACTCAAAAGAGATTGGCAGGATATTTGTGAGACGTATCATCATCAGATGGTTTCTTACTATAGTGTTTCTGTTTCTTGTAAATCTAAGCTGACGACAGATATTGATTATTCAGTTCCCATATATGTTATCACTGTTTTTTAAATTCATAAGTTTTATGTCGACTTTTTGCTAGAAGAAAAATAGAGAAGAGCTTCACTGATAAGTTTGCGACTTTCAATATTTTCCTTCACGATACATATAGTATCTACTTATTCAACATATTTTCATGCGCCTATTATTCGGCAAAGAAGTCACAATTAGACGTCACTAAACAAGCTACAAGAACATTTGATCGTTTAGACATGCATAGGCATAAACTCTCTGGATAATGTATATAAGAGATCAAACAATTAGTGACATCTTAGTTTTATCGTTTCATTAAATAATACTGTCAGTAATACTTTGTACTATAATTGAAACACCAGCTTACATCGACAAGATCGAGGATTCTACTATGCTATGACTACCATAATACGATTGTTGAGATATTGAGCTAATTTTTCTACTATAAATACGTGGAGAATTCCGCATTGTCGAAACATATGGCAAAAAGAGATAAAAAAATAAAAATACTACAAGATTATGTAAATTAATTCGTTTCAGAATTATTGTTCTCGTTAGATTGGCGATAATTTTATGAATACCATCTAGAATCTAAAAGAATAATACAAACGACGCAAACTAGATAAAAGGTTAATTGAATATTACTATGAAACGATATAAAATGAATTAGAAGCATAATCAAATATTTGACAACAAATGCATAAAAAGTACTGATGTTGTTTCAGAAGAATTTTTAGTGAAAAAGAATTTCAAGTATGTTTTATTTTTTCTGTCAAGCCAATGTATCGTTAAAATATATGAGTGCCTCACTTATTATGATTTTCACACCGAAACTAGAAGATTATTGCCTTTCTACTATTATGTGTGGTAAAAGATTCCTTCGCTTTATCGTTGTATAGGAATCTTATACTAGCTCTTGTTTTACTTGGCAATATTGTGCTTTCGAACTCCTAACATTTATGTTGTCAGATACAGAATAAAGTGCTGAATTGAAAAAAAAAGAAATTCTCTAAATATATGTCAATTGAAATTTTTGATCTGATTATTTAATTTCCGAAAACTAGCTCATCTTCCTTCACTTATATTTTTGATTGGACTAAAACGTTTTGCCAATTATGCGAAATCTCGACTTGTTACACAGAGTAGTGAGTATGAATAGAGGAGAATACTAGTTATCTCGCCACAGAATCAATCACCCAAATCAGGCTTTTTTTTTCAACTGGCGTATACTTTCGAAGATAAAATCGTGAGCTTCAGTTTAAAGCAAGATTTTTGCAGCTCCGCCATTACAGATCCTGGAAATATTGTAGAAGTATAATAGAACGAATTCTTATCCATGATGTAATTGATGAGTATTTCTATTCATTTTAAACGAATTTCTTAAATCTTATAGCGTTATTTTTCCTCAGGCTATACTGACATCTATATATTTCCTTCCCATATCGACGGGACTTCTTAAATCATTCAACACGATCTCCTCTCGCTTCTTTCTTCTTCTTAAGCAAAACCAATGTAAAATGATTTCATTACCGGGCGCTACAGTCAATTTGATAATCTCAATTGTATAATTAATTTTACAAATATTATTCAATAATTCTCTTTTGCTTGCTTATAACCAACGAAATCTTGTTTTTTTTTATTATTATTATCGATTAATTTCATTGTTTCTCTGTACTCGATGGTCGTCATGGATATGCTAATCAAAAATGGTCTCCCGTATTCACATACACATACGAAAGAATAGATGAATTTACATTTGTTGATTTTCAATAGAGTGTTAAGTATCCTGTCAACAAATAAAACAATAGTTACTGTATCTTCTTGGGAGAGAATTTTTTTCTAAAGAATGTCTCAAGCCGGTCTTTTATCTATCAAACAAATTATCGGTGTCCGAAGTTCTGTTACTAATGGTTTAGCATTTCAAGATGAACAAACCGTTGTCTATATTGCTGGTGGCAATATTGTCTTGTATGGTATTGACCAGAAAGCACAACGGGTCATTCCATGTTCCATGAGCGCGCAAGGTAAATTCAAATCATTTTTCGAATCTTTATTTATATTTTAAATATTTTTGTGTTTTTCAGCATTAACAACAATGACTGTTAGTCCTAATCGACGTGTAATAGCTGTTGCAGAACGTATAAACGATCGTCCACAAGTCACAATCTATGATCTTCAATCGGGCAAACGTAGAAAAACTTTACAATCAGAATTAATAAAATCGAATGAAATTGTCTCGTTACTATTTTCGTCGGATTCAAAATATCTCCTGACTCAAGGCGGTGCTCCAGATTATGCACTTATCTATTGGTCATGGGAAAAAAGTAAAGTAATGGCACACCTCGATGTTAAACCCCCAACAGGTCCACAAGCCAATGCAACAATTAATCAGGTTTGATTGATTCTGTTCTCATTGATCTATTCGCTAACGTTTCATTTCACTTAAAGGTATCATTTAATCCACAAGATAATACACAAATTTGTACGATTGGTTATGGCCTATTTAAAATGTTTCGTTATGCTGAATCAGCATTGAAACCATCACAAAATCTAAAACAAGAACATTTCAATTTTACATGTCATTGTTGGATCTCGGATGATCGATTATTAGCGGGTACAGATCAAGGCAAATTATTTGTTATACAAAATGGAGAAATTTTACATGAGATTAAAATCGATTCTAAATCTGAACCAAGGTGCGGTGTAATTTTTTTTGAAAAACAAAAATTATTTTCTTTCTTTAGATCCGTAGCCAGTCATCATACAACAGACGAACGCTTAGGTTTAGTTGAAAGTAGTCTGGATATAAATGCAAGTTCCGATTACATAGGAAAATTCGAAATTAAATGTATTATTCCATTTTCACGTGGTGTTCTTGTTGCTGCTGGTGTTAATAAAGTCTATATGTTTGATCGAGTCGATGACAATCGAGAATATTTTCGTCGTAATAGAGAAATTTTATTACCTGTTGATCCAACTGATAAATCAAATAATGAACGAGTTGTTTCAATGTGTTTAAGTCCATCTGAAGAAACACTTGTTGCTTTAACAGATCTTCAACAAATCTACCAATTGTCATTTTCAGGCATTGATATCACAAAAGTCAGATGAATTAATTGACATTGATATCGAATAATAATTCTTTTCTTTTTTGGTTTTCTTCTAGGATGTAGCAACGTTTTCATATTTAACAGAAGGTTTTCATCATGCTCAAGTTACTGGAGTTGATACATGTGTTCGAAAACAACTTATTGCTACTTGTGGTGTCGATAAATCAGTTCGTCTTTGGAACTATGAAACAGGGTAAAGATATGATTGAGACAGAAGCATATCACTTATTAGCACTGAAGTTAAACTATAACATAGAAATTGTCCGTGATAAACTATATAATCCTTCTCTCTTTGCTGTTCAGTAAACTTCGTTACCTTTTTTTTTGGAATAGTGAAACACAACATGCAGAGCAATTTTATTTATCGAGAATTCTACAGAAACAATAAAAATTCGATATTTGTTTTGTTTAATTTTTAGTACACTCGAAGTATGTAAAGAATTTCAAGAAGAAGCATATACTGTCTCTATTCATCCGTCGGGTCTATTTATTCTTGTTGGATTCTCTGATAAATTAAAATTATTTACAATTTTGATTGATGATCTTCGTCCCTTTAAAGAATTTTCTATTCGTGGTTGTCGTGAAGCACTATTTAGTAATGGTGGACATTTATTCGCTGCTGTACATGGAAATGTGATACAAATTTATTCAACAGTTACTTTTGACAATGTTACAAATTTAAAGGGGCACAATGGAAAAGTTTGTTCATAATCATTTTTCAGCAAAACATAAAGATAAATTTTCTATTGTAGGTCCGTCAATTGATTTGGTCGCCAGATGATACACGCTTGTTTTCATGCGGTATGGACGGTGCAGTTTACGAATGGGAAGTTGCTACATCAAAACGATTACATGAAGCTGTACTTAAAGCGTGTGGTTATACAGGTCTCGGATTAAGTGCCGATTCAAAAATAGTCTATGCTGTTGGTACCGACCGAAAGATTAAAGAGATTGTAGATGCTCAAGTTAGTTTTTTTTTGAATGAAAATTTAGATAAATACACCATTGATTGATGCTTGTAGCAAATTCTACGAGAAGTTCAAGTTATACCAGATGATGTGCAACCTACAACGATTGCACTTAGTCACACGGGTAAATCATTGCTAGTCGGTACATCCAAGGGAACTATTCGATCATACAAATTTCCATTAACAAAATCGGACGAATATACAGAATACATCGGTCATGTTGGAATGATTAATCGGGTAAATTTAAAAAGAAAAAAAAATATTGTTTAAAATAAACTCAAACTTGAATTCTTTTTTACTAAATATCTGAGATTTTATTACAATAGCTGTGACTTACTCGTCGGAACGAACTCTTCTAAACTTTTCCAGTCGTCCTGGAATCTCCTTGCGACAATTTTTCTATCTATATGTCTATTCATTTAGTTGCGTGTCACATTTCAAGATGAATATGCTGTCTCAGTTGGTGATGATGGGTTAGTCATCTTATGGAAATTACAAGAAATTGGTGTTTCAAAAAAAGAAAAAGAAACGACATATGCCGAAGAAATTCTTATTACGAAGAGCGACCTTGAAGAGAAAGTAAGCTAATTTTGTTTTTGTTTCAGCAAAATAAAATGAATATTTATCGAATATTAGAATTCATTAATTCGTGAATTGAAACAGCGTGTTGCAGAATTACGCGAGGAAAATGATTATCAACTTAAATTAAAAGAAATGAATTATGCCGAACGAATACGCGATTTAACAGATAAATTTATGCTAGAAATGGAAAATTTAAAAACGAAAAACACAGTCATTACAGGCGAAAAAGAGAAAGAATCTAGTAAACATGCCGAACAAACTCATGATCTCATCGAAAAACAAAACAAAGAATTACAAGATTTAGGTAAATCAAATATTCAATTGTTTTAGAAAAATAATGCGAATAGAATTTATTTAGTTGAAAGAAAAAAGCTTTTGTAAGTTTATCCTTATGTTCAGCTGCGATTTTGCATTTTATTTTACCTATATGGAATGAATTGAAATATTTTTCTGTTCTAGAGAGTTCCAATAATCAAAAGTTGATGCTCGAATATGAAAAATATCAAGATCTTCAAGCTAAAACTCAAAAAACACAAGAAGACTACGAACGACAAATAACTGAATTAGAAAATCGTAAAGAAGAAGAAGGTACAAGACAAAGAATGCAATATACGGCACAACTTGAAAAACTAAAAAATGATCTCATTCTCGTAAGTTTATGAATACAACTAGAATTCTCATATATCAAAAGATTCTCGAGAATAGAATTTCTTCTTTTCTACAAATAAACTGAAAGACAGTAGCAGTCGGAATTAGTCTTAGACGTGGCCAAACAGCTATTTTACAGTTTCAACATCCTAAATCTAGTCCTATCCCACAAAGAAGTGGCCAAAAACTTAAAAGGTGCAGTCGCCAATCAACCTAGTAATACTGGATGCAATCTTACATCGAAAAACTACAGCCAGTTGACGGTCTTAGAGTTTCTATTTTTTTCTCCGCTAATTGACGGAAAATAAGCAAATTTCCGTTTTACTCGTCCTGATCTGTCAGAATACTTTTCTGTGTTCTTTTGAAAAAAAAACTTTAAACCTTTGCTTTGCTTCATCAAACTAAATCCAGGAGATGTAGATGAATCATTTTGTTTTTAGGAACGTGAAAAAAATAAACAACAATCTCGTGATCATGAAGAAACGAAACGACAAATTGAAGAAGATGCTGATGAAGAAATTCTTAAATTAATGCAAACACATGAACAAGCATTAATCGAATGTAAAGAAGAAAATGCTAATTTACGAAATAAAAGTACAACATTTCAACGAAAAGTATGCCAATACTAATAGAACAAAAATGTAAGAATTCATTTTGAAATATTCTTTTTTCTTAAGGTCAAAGATCTCGAAGAATCAATTAAGAAGAAAGATACTGATTTAGCTAGTTTAAAAAATGAAGAATCCAAATTACAAAATGCTATTCGTGGTTTGAAAAAAGATATTGAAGGATTGAAAAAAGAAATTCAAGAACGTGATGAAACGATTCAAGACAAAGTAATTGATCATTTAGACGACAAAAACTCTACTATAAAAATTTATCATTTCAATTGAATGCTAGGAAAAACGTATTTATGAATTGAAACGTAAAAATCAAGAATTAGAGAAATTCAAATTCGTACTTGATTATAAGATCAAAGAACTTAAGAAACAAATTGAACCACGCGAAATTGAAATTAAAGAAATGAAAGAACAAATAACTAATGTAAGCATCTATCTATTTTTCTATTATATTATTAATTCAACGCGATTTTATCCAGATGGAAGCTGAACTCGAACGATTAAGCAAGAGTAATGATGAAGAAAAATTAAAGAACGAAGAATTACGTACAAAATTAAATGCGTCCGCTTTGGCCTTACAACAAGAAAAACAATTGGTTTGTTATCTATTGATATTTTATTTTTCTTATCTAGGCTTTTCGTCTTCATAGAAACGAGATTCCGAATTAGCATTGAAGCGTATTAAAACTGATATACATAATTGTTCAGCTTTAATAACTGAACCAAAATTACTAACACAACGTGTTGCTGAAATCTATGCTCAATATGTTCGTGACGATGCCGTAAGTGTTGAATTGGAGATAATCTCTTTTTAAAACAACGTGCTTTTATCATATCTATCAGTGTCTGCTGGAAAAAGGAACTTCATTGTAGCGAATGGCTTTTTGTTTTGTTTGAAAGAACACGCGAAACCATGGTGCCCGTTTTATGAATTCAACTTTACTGCTATCAAAAGAAGTTCTATTAATAGATAACCATTTTTGAGAGTTTTAGTTTTTTTTATGAGCGATTAAACATGACATCTTCTTTTCTTCACATACAAAAGGCTCTATCAGCCACGGTAATCTGACATGCTTTTTCAATGTCTCAAGAATGATAATCTCTGAAGACTCCGTGGGTTGATATATAAATTATTCTTCGCCCTTCTTTCGAAATATTATGTTATGCAGCTCAACATTACATTTGAATGATTCGTCACAATAGAGGGACTATTCGCTCTCATATAATTACTTAATGCCCAATCCTTGAATTAATGATTAAATCATTTGGGAAATCAAAAATAAGTCCTAAGACATAGTCTTATCAATAATAAGTGCAAGTTTTACGAGACAGTATCGACAATAAAGATCGAGTTCGTGCCGTCTATTTATTAATAGGATCAATTCATATGAAATGTTGTTTTTTAAATTAAAGTCAGTTTGATGTCTTTAATCAGTTTTCTATTTTCAATATTGCGAATATTGGAAACGAATATGACTTTTATCTATCAGTCAACCTTCGTACTGTTAATCTTATTTTCTCGTGATCAATGTGAGATAACGCAAAGCGATTATCACGCAGTACTCGAAACTGAAAAAAATATTTTTTAATCAAAATCTCCTTTTTTTATAGACCGAAGAAGCAACTATTGATCAAGATATAACGAAAGAGTATGCTCGACAACGTGATCATCTTGAACGAACAGTACGAAGCCTTAAGGTACTTCTATCTTCGCTTCTTCTATTTCTCATCATAATATATTATCTGTTTAGTCCAAAGTTGATAAAGATTCTGATCGACATAAAATGGAAAATATTCGTATAATGCAAGTAAGTTTTTCCGAAAACAAAAAAAAATTAAATTTCTATTTATTTTTATTCAACTAAGGAAAATGTTACATTAATCAAAGAAATCAATGATTTAAGACGTGAATTAAAATCAGCTCGTGTTAAATTACAAGATTTACAAACAGCTATGGGTATCAGTCGTAAAACAGCAGCACGTACAACAGAAGAAATTGTTCAAGCCTTGAACACACACCAAGGCAATCATTTAGTTAAAGAAAAACAAACAGAATTAGAAAGTTTAATTCACCGACAACGAAGTGAAATTCAACGACTTAATGAACAAATTGCAAATATTGAATCTGGAAATGCTCGTACTGGTACAGCTGGTGGTGGCCGATCTCGCCCATCGTCATCGGGACAATTGCCGCCCATCACATCAGCATTAACTGCTCATTAACATTAAACTGTATGCACGTGATATTCAACAATTTAATTTCTATTTTTTTTCTTTTCAAAAAAAGGACAATAAATAAAAAACTATTTAGCCTTTCCATTATATACACGACACTTATCTACATTCTGATTTGATCACTAAAATATACGAATTTTTTCTTGCGATTGTAACTTTAATAGGCTTGAACATTTGTTCTCGAAAAAGCAAACAAGAAGTTATGTCAAAGAACTTTTTCACTTCAAAATGTAACGTATAGGCTAGTGTCACAAGTTCTATTGTATTCACTAATAATTATTTTGCTTGACATATAAAATATAATGAAACACTTGAGAACGTGTAAAATTGAAAAATTATTTTTGATGATAAGAATTTTTATATCATACATAAAGATTTGGCATTAGTCCAAGATTTAGACGTAGACGAACTTTATATTCCGATTGAAAAAAATATTCATTTTGCGGGACATTTTAGGGGTTAAATAAAATTTAGCGAAAAGAAACATTCTATTTCTTGAAACTTAGCCCGCTTTACAATAAAAAAACCCAAATTTTGGCAACCATCTTGCGCCATCTGTTCGATGTGTAATATAATTCAAAATATTCAAGGTGTTCGTTTACAATATGAATGGTGGCTTGTAAATGATTGGCAGAAAAATTATGTTTTACGTATCTCTTGAATCAACTCCGTAAAATTCTTCCTGTTTCTGCCTGATGTCGTCATTCTGTCTATTTCTTTTTTTCTTCGTCTTCTGTTAACTGCATGACTGAATACCTAATTAGTATAGTCTATCATGAAATTCATCATATTTTATCTTTTGAAAAAGCGCGTTTCTATTTATTTATGTTAATTTCTAGATGACGGAATGTTTTTCAGCTCGTTGCCAACAAGATCGAAAAATAGTTCGACGAGAATTTAATAAATGGACAAAAAATTTATTATTTCAAATTGGTAAAAAATAAATAATGACTTATATGCAATATTGTCTTTGTTTTATTTAAAGGTTTAGAAACAATAACAAAAAATCATTTCGGCTTTGACGTTAATATATTCAATCAAGCAACTGGTTTGAATAAAATTTGAAAAAAGTGTTTTTTTTTTACTTCTTTTTCTATTAGACGAACGAATACCAATTGATTTTAATCCTGAACAAGAATGTTTATTTTGTGTCAATAGACATGAATATTTAGGCAAGAAAAAGTCGAAAAATCAAATTAACGAATATCATCATTCATTATCTGAAACAGCTATTGATGACGATGAAAATGCACCATTAGATTTAAGTTTAAAAACAACGACAAATAATTCACCGTTAATATCATCAAATACTCGAACAAATGTCAAGTTAGTATTCGAATAATTCTTTTGTATGGAAATTAATATTCATATTTCGTATCGATCTAATTCAGAGGCAAGAAAACTCGTCCATAATAATGAGAAAATCTCACTACGAGCTGAATCATTTTTTCAATTGAGACAAGAACAATTCCAAAATATCTATATGTCAATTTTGTTAGGTTATGCTGTTTTGAGTAATTATTACAATTCAAACACGTAATCCTTCTCAGATAATTTTTCTGAAGTCATGCATTAAGCTCTGATCTTTTACTTCTCGTTAGGATTAATCCAATTTCAAAACAAGTCGAGTATTTTCAAAAAAATAGGAAATTTCAGGCACTTGAATACTAACATAATGAGAAAATTTTTTGTCTTCAAATTGAACATGAAAGTCATTGAAAATCCATTTGAGCGAAAATTCGTATCATTATATAGTGGTAAAAGGACAAAAATAAATAAGTTTCATTTTCTTTGCAATGATATAAATACAAATTCTACTAGGATCTTTTTTGAGGTTCCCAAAAGTCAGCCAGTAGATTTGATTTACTGTCGCTTGCCTGATAATTCTGATTAAGACATCAATGAAATAGATCTATTTTTATTCTAGACATCGTCCATTGTTTGACATTAAGTCAGATATACCAACAATCTATGGTCAGGAAGAATTTGATCGTTTTATGTCTGACATGATTGCTAGTCAACTTGGTAAGAAGAAAATTTTCAATTTTTTTTTCTTACCAATTCATTTTCTATATTGTAGATTTTTCATCTCAACCCTATTTAAATATGAATCTCTTTCCGACATCACCAACTACTCCTATGCATTATTCTCAAACAAATAAAAAAGCATCGTCTTCTTTGCAAGATACGCGCATTGCTCAGTTAGCCAAGCAAATGGCATACGAACGAATGTTACAAGAAATCGATTATCAACGTCATCCATCAACTAATAAAAAATCCAAACTTTCAAATAGTCCTTCATCGTCGATTCTCACAGAATCGATTCATGTCAATCACATACTGAACGATGTTATGATGCGTATATTACATGAAATGTATGAAAAAGAACAGCAAACAACATCACCCGTATCACAGCCAAGAGCATCATGCAAAGGAGAATTATTATTTGTTAAAAAACAAAATGTTAATAATGATGAACAATATAATACAAACATTTTTAATCATTTCAATACAACTAAACAGCCAAAGGTGAGCATCTTTTTTTAGAAAACAATTAACCTGTTAGCACAATAGCCAGAAGCAATTCATAGAAAGATTCTGTTCAACAAAATTGGCCCTGTGAGAAAGTTCGTATTGTGAATGCAACTGTCAGTGTTATATATTTAACTGATAGTCTTATTTGCAGAGTCTTCGAAAGAGATGAAAACTGATACATCGAATATGATGATTATCACAAAAAAAAACAGTTTGTATAGACACTCAGATTTTGGAACAGTTTATTCATAATGCTTGTGCTGTCAAAAATATTTTTACATCATGTTAACACAGCAAGTCATGAAAATCAAGATAACCATTTGCTATGATTTTGTAGAATAGTAAGAATTCGTCTTACGATTGTCCTAAAGAGTAAGAATTTAGCTTCAGCTAACTATCAGATACAATGTTCTATTCTCAGAAAATAAATCCCTACGATTGAATATTAATCAAAGTTAGCTACATTTGAAACTAACAAAAATTACGCGAACTATATGATATTTCATATTGTAATCCTATAATAATTAAGATGAATTTTTTTCTTCGAGTAATATTTATAGCTTTCTATCATAGTACGCATTTCAAATGAATTCTGTTATCATTTTAGCAAAATAATAAAGTAAATCCTTCATCCTCAAGTTCGTCATCATCATCAAGCGTATCATCAACGCGTTCATCATCTATTCATATTAAAAATAGACATAAAATTAAATTAAATTCAACAACAAATCATATACCTAAAGGTCGATCCATTGAGGCAATCAACAATAATAATAAGATTTCGATTGGTGTCGATGGTAAACAAATCCGTCCAAAACGTGGTCAATATCGTCGTTATGAATCTGAACAACTGGCTAAGGCAGTAGCGGCTGTTTTAAGTAATGAAATGTCCGTACATAAAGCCGGTTCTTTTTTTGGTGTACCGCATTCAACAGTAAGTTAAATAAACTAACGCATATGAAATACATTTCGCCTTCAAAATTCTAGTTGGAATATAAAGTCAAAGAGCGCAATATCAAAGTATCATCTTCAATGAAAACAAAAAATGAATCTTCATCATCATTATCTATGAATGATAACGATCATAATAATTCCTTTCATGGTGAGTTAGTAGAGCTTTTTGCTTATTGGGACCTATCAGAACCATAAGTACGCCTTTGTCGTATTCCCACCAGCAACATATTAGAGCATGCGGAATCTAGGCAGCTAAGGTTTTATCTTGGCATTCGCAAACCCAAAATATCAGCCTAATTAAAAGAAAATTATACTTAAACAAAATGACAAAACATTTTGTGACTTATTTAGGTGAAAATCATGATGAAGATGGTGATAAATCGTCGAAGGAACTTGCTACTTACCTTCCTACATCGAACAGTAGTACCAATAATGACCATTTAGACACTATCGACGATGAGAATGAATCAAACGATGACGATGATCTTGACGAACAAATCAATTGATTTTACTGTGGCAATCAATTTTATTCTTTACATCTTTATAATAACTACTTTTCCGTACATACATCAATTTCTACTTTTATCTAGCAGATCATTTCTGCTCTATATATGTGTTTGTGTGTGAGCGAGAGAGCGAGTGTATATATATATATATATATAGTAAATGTTTTACTAGTCATTAAAAAACCAATAAGCGAGAGAATCTTCATGTAACTTTCTGTATGTATGTATGTGCATTCCAAGTCCATAAAGTGGTGGAGAATGAATCTTTGTTGTGTGAATTTTGTTTCCTTTCTTCTGTTCTTTTAACACAGCATTTCCAAGTTTGTTTTCATTGTATATCTATATGTGTATGATTGTTTTGTGCTACTATTATTAATACCAAGAAATTCAGTATATGTTTTTCTTGAGTCTGTGTTATTTGATTGCTTGCCATCCGAGAAACAAACAATAAAGAAAAACATTTCGTGTCATGTTTTGTGAAATAGAATATAGATCTGTTGTTCTTTTCTTTCTCTTTTTAATTTGAGGTTCTATAGATGGGTTGTGTTTGCGGCCGACAAAGTGTGGTTATACAAGGACAAAAGTTCCATCTCATACGGCAAATTGGCGAAGGGTACATTGCTTTCTCTTAACGCTTATTGTGTTGGCTTTTTTTTTCAAAAATCGGGATCTATTTGTTTTTCTTGCTGAAGAAGATGAGAGTTTAATTATTGAATTTAATGTTTTAGGAGTTTTAGTTACGTGTTTGAAGCTCGTAATACAGCTGATAGCCATCGATATGCTATTAAGAAAATGTCTTGTCATACGAAAGAAGAAGAAAAACGTGCTCGAGACGAAATAGAAAATTATCAAAGATTTTCACATGAGAATTTAGGTTTGATTCAGGACTATTGCTTTTCTTCATATACCATCCTATTTCCTTGTTCTTAGTTTCATTACTCTATCACGAAGTGATACAATATAAGCCGGATGCACATGTAACATGTATTGTTTGGCTTGTTTTTCCATATTTCAAGGCAAATTATTATTTACAAAATCACCGAAAAATCTTGACTTTCGTTTATAGAATGGTTCGCTTCAAGATGCTTTGAATGCTCAAACGAAATTTACGACGCGTGTTCTACTTGATTTATTTTTGAGTGTATGCCAAGGCGTTCAAGAAATTCACGAAAAGAGAATGGCTCATAGGTAGTTAATTTTTGTCTATTTAATACTAAGAAAAGTTATTCTTTTGTAAAGGGATTTGAAACCAAGTAATATTATGCTAGTTAATAATATCCATGGTGTGATACTTGATTTTGGCTCAATGATACCAGCATCGTTTTCGATGACGACAAGATCACAAGCACAACAATGGCAGGTAAAAAAACGTATATATTTAAATTGATTGTTTTATTAGTAGTCATTTTTATTCATAGGATTGGGCTGAAGAAAATTGTTGTGTACAATGTAATAAATCCTATGTTTAAATATTTACGTTTCATTTTTCTCTTTCCATAGATCGTGCACCGGAGCTATTTCATATAGAAACAAATTCTTCAATTACTGAAAAAACTGATATTTTTTCTCTTGGTGCAATTCTATATGCATGTTGCTTTGGTAAAGGTCCATTCGATGATGTTTATTCAAGAGGAGATAGGTATAAATGACAGTCAAATTTGTCGTATGATTTATCTTATCCATACAAAATTTTGTTGATAACAATTGTGAGAAAAGTGGATAAAATTTCACAAAATTTGACTATAGCTTCTCGAGGGCGTAAGCAGATCTTTGAGACGGGGGGGGGGGGGGGGGGGGGGGGGGGGGGGGGGGGGGGGGGGGGGGGGGGGGGGGGGGGGGGGGGGGGGGGGGGGGGGGGGGGGGGGGGGGGCGTAACCCCTATATTGACCCCCCCCCCCCCCCCCGCCCCGATCTGGCAAGGGTAGCATACGTATTGGAGGCGAAATTTGCCCTTCAATTCCTAAATTTGTAATTCGAAGCCAGATGATAAATGAAATACAAAACCTTTTTTAAAATTTTTCTATACTTTTTTTTTCTTATAGCGTGGCTTTAGCAATAGCCAGTGGTCGTATTGAATTACCAGTACAATCATCAACTTATCCATCGGATGTCATTGATACAATGCTTGCCATGCTGCAAATCGATTCTGACCGACGACCATCAATTCAGGAAGTTATCGATAAACTTTCCAATTCATCTCGTTGTACAATGGATATAGTTTAAGTGAATTGCTTTTTACTGTGCGCTTTGTTTTTTATTCTGTAAAAATGTAATTTTCTTTTCGTCTCATCAACATTTACACAAGAAAAAACTGTACACAGCCTATGGAAGATAATTACAAGGTTAAAAACAAGGAAGAATCTGAACGATAATAATAGTAAAAACAAAAGGCAAACAGATCTGTGTCTATAACCATATTTCGAATTGACTATCTTTACAAATAATTTCATATGTGTCACAATGATTTAGACGTAGCGAATGAATTTCGAAATAATTTCGTACTTGTCGATCATTTTGTGTGTACTTATCTAAAATATATTTATTTGTTCGTTGAATTTTTAAGCTAATTAAATCAATGAAAACATCTAAAATTGTTTTAATAATTTTAATATCAGCATACAGTTTTGGATTAATATCAATAGTCAAATGTTCTAGATACGGAAATAATGTCGGTAGATTGTTTAATAAACGGTTTAAACGATTTTGTCGATCGATTTGCATACAATTTAATTCGAGCGTTTTTATATTAGTTAAGTAAACTGCATTAGGCGAAGGAATTTTAAGAAAATATTTTAATAGTAACGGACCTGTAGCTGTTAATGTTGTTAAGCATGGTGCAAACGAAAATATTAATGGAAACAATCGACCATCGCATTCATTTACAATGAGATGTTTCATTTGACGGAATGATACATTCAATGATTTCGAACAAGTATTTAATGCATCATTTACTGGTAAAACAATATTTTGTATTTGTAATGTATGCGTTTTCGAACAGTATTGTTTAAATAAATGAATTAATTGTTGACTAATATCACTGATGGTACCTTGTGTTGCATCAAGAACGATTTTTCTGACCGAACTGAAACTTTTTTCATAGATGACATTATTGAATAAACGTGAATTCGACGTTGATAATTTTAAGGTATCAAATGCATAGGGTAATGTAAATAATTTAAAACGTGTTTTATTTGAATGCGGACGCCAAATCATATGTCCTATGGGCCAATGCAATTGAAACGATGAAAATGAAGAAATTATTGGATTTAGACGTAATTGAATATCATCCAGTGGCATATCAAAACAGAGTTGAAGCTGCTTTAAACGTGGAAATGAATTTTCAAGAAAGATTTCCCAACGGTGTCCACTAAAATATAGAGAATTTTGTTTTTTCCCTAGCGATCAATCATTCAACGAGAGTACTGAAAAGTAAATCCTATGACCTGAGTGAGTCGTCAGGAAAATAATGAAGAAAATTAGATTTTATTAATAACGCGAAGGTTTCGTTGAACTTATGATCGAATGTTTACTAGGAAAATAATTAGAATTTTAGTGTTTAATAAAGAATAGAAGATGCATTTCCTTGGCAAATTTGAATATCAATAGTTCATGTTCATGTCATGCTATACATTTTACTAAATACGACACAGAAGTTTTATAGAACTTTTCAACCTTCGTTTTAAGAAGTCATTCTTGACAAATAGACTTTTTAAATTGGCGGAAAAGACCAGCGTTTAATATTAACTTTGCACTGCCCTACTAATTACTAACACACAATACGCACACGTGTCAGTGGTGGCAGCTTATTTTTATTTAGAAACACCCCCTGGCTCTTGACATAATGACGACCTAAAAATATTGATGCTTTTCTCAACTCTTTACTAATTCCATCAGATCATCGGCCTACCTAACAACAAAGAAACAGAATCGACCGTTAAGATAAACAAAAATCTACTATTCGATCAAAATAGAAGAAAAGTCATATAGTAATTTCTATCATTAAATGCATGACAAGAACTGACCCCCCGAAGCTAAATCGCTAACAATCGGATTGTTCAATAGAAATGTCCGTAGATTTCCTCAAATGCATACTAATGAATTTTAGACACACGTCTCTATGTAACTGAAACTTCCGCACCATCGAAATATGACTTACTTGAAATAATTTTGATCCAATGTTGTACGATTGAAATAAGCAAGTCGTTCTAATTTCGCTGCTCGTATTCGACTTGTCATTAATAGAACAAACCGATCAAACGTTAATTCACTGCCTGTGACATCTAATTCAAAATCAACTAAATCTATCGGCGGTTTACCACATAACGGTACATTCAATGGGGCTTGGTCAGCAAATAATTTTACACTTAATTTTTTTAAATTTGGTACATGTTCTAGAAGAAGTAATAGACTATCAAATGATCGCAATGGAATTGTTAACTGTTTTAAATGATCATAATTTGTAGGTATATCAGTTTTATCAACAAATTGCAAATAATCATTATTATGCATTTCGACTGAAATTGATTCTAGTGTTTTGATTTGTGTTGAACCAAAGAGATGATGTTGTAAACAACTTTTATAGGTTGTTTCACTTGTTGATGACGATGGCCGTTGAATACGTATATGTAATGTTCGAATAGACATATGTTTAAGTTTTGAAAAAACAAGATTGATTTCATCGATTGTCGGATCAATTAAAGAGATATGTTCCAATAATGGAAAACGAAACACATTTAAATCGATGCGAAACACTTGTTTGATTGCATACTAAAATTTAGATTTTCAAAAATTTACTGTTCAAAACATTGTCATATTTCTGCTAAAAACAAACTTAATCGCAGATTTTTTTAACTTTATCGTTGTTAACATACAAATTTTCGGAAAACAACGATTACTGTAGGGCGCGGAAGTCGGGCGGTACGGCCCTGGTGATTATTGTTACTGTCAGTCTCCAACAGATATTACTATGTCTGAATTCTGCATCTATTAATTATCGTTATTATTGAAGACTTGCCAAGTTCAATCTTTTTCTTTTAGAAAAATAAGAATAATTACCTGATTATTTAATGTCAACGATTTAGCATTGCCAAGATGATTTCGAATGTGTTCAAATTGTTTAATTGATAATTTCGAACAGTCAATATGATGTGTGAATGGTTGAAGAAGTTGATTGAACCGTTGATTAAGATTTAGAAAAGCATAGAAAACATCTGATTGAGATAAATATTTAAATATTTCAAAAAGAATTTCATTCGGTAAACTAGTTTCAAATTTTGTTGCCGGCTTCGGTTTGTCACAAAAATAATCGTTTGTTGTTATTTGTTTAAAATCTAAAATGAAAACAAATGTGTCACATGCTGAATTTTGTTTTTAATTTCAAGTATTACCTTCCCGATCATTAAAAAAAACAATCGAACAAACTTGATTTTCACTTCCGGCCGTTGTTGCTGATAGAGCCCGTCGTTTGACTCTCGAAGAATTACAACTATGAATTTCGTCTAAAGGACGTTTATTACAATTTGGAATTCGTACTGGTAGCACGCCACTATTTGTTTTTGAACGATCACGTCGTTTATGTTTTCTTGTTGATTTCGGTGCATCAGACATTAGAAATTCAATTATTCGATTTACGTAAGATTTGTTTTCTCTGAATGAACAAATAAAACCTTTCTTGGTTGATTTCACGTGATCTAAACACTTTGGCTAGATGTAACAAGAACGTTGTTTTGGTTAATACAGGACACCAATAAAATTATTTTCTTGATAGATGGCGTTTCGAGGAAATGCCAAATATAATTTTCATCTATTTGTGAAATCATAAATCGAACAGGCTGGAATTAATTTATTGACCGAGGAAAACATTTTTCCTCTTAAGATAACTCGTGTTAATGAAGGTATTTGCTTTTTGATGAAACTCCGAGAAATTATATTTAGACTACTTGGTTAGATACTTAAATTTCTCAAATAATTAATCACGTTCTCTTTACTAATGATTGCTTCGAGCATATTTTAATTAAAAATATACTATTTTTAGGCCTTTCAACTTGTCATGAGTAGAAAATAGCAAAGAAACGATGTTCAGGCAGTCGTTTATCCGTGAGAAGCAAAGATCCTGAACTAGATTTTATATTTCAATGCTTTAATTAAAATCAAAGCACACAATTTCAAGGATATTCTAAATGATTTATACTTTATGGATTATATTTGTTCATGAATTTTGACTTTGTTTTCTGTTTAACATATTGATAAATAGACGAATCAATGTGTGAAATAAAAAGTGACTTGTTACCATGTGAATAATTGAAGAACATAATTTTAACTCCTACCTCGCTAAAACTGATGAAATTTTGCCTATTTTCGCACTCCCCGCCGTCTAATAATTAAAATATTCCTTTTTTTTTATCAAATCTATGTCATAATTTGTAAAGCAAGCTTCAAATTCATGCTACCTTTTGTACTTGAAGTAAGAATAGTCTGGTCATATCATTACACTGCTTGTCAGGAATAGCTCGTTTTAATTAATTTTTTATATTCATTTGGTGCATATTATTAACAATCTATTCGATGTCATGATTTGTGGAGTTGATGTTAGCAGCCATCTTTGTTTTACTTATGTCAGCTGCAAATGAGCAACGATCATGTAACAAAAAAAGGATTTACTCGATAATATATTTATTTTCTTTCAGTATGATTTAATATGAAATCATATATTTAATGAAAATACACCTGTAGGAGGGTTATTCAAGATGATTTTACTCTATCATCTGTCCTATTTTCTAGTAGCGTCATGCTTTAAGTTCATGTAGTCGAAGTCATGAGCCATCTTCTAGATAATTTCTTTTTCTTTAATGAATTTCTAGGAAATCTCGTATATTCTTCCCCGCAAAGAAAAACATTGGTTTGAATCTTCTTTCTTGAACATGCATATATTAAGAATAATAGAAGCTAAATATATCTAAATCTATATATATATATATATATATGTAATCTTTCATTAACGCGGTTCTTTTACGCTGGTGTTTAGTTTGTTCGATATAAAAAGTAGACGTTGATGGATTGATTATTATTGTGTTGATGTAAGTAGACACGAATCTTTTTTTCCTATGAATGAAACGTAAATATCCAATCAATGTTAGCTTGTAAATATTCTTAGAGAATAGATTTTTTCAAAAACATCTTCATTAACAGTTAAATTAAGCAAAGTCTAAAAGAAGGAAGTTAATTTTCTTAACTATTTACATGAAAATGAATAGAAATAAATCTCATCTTTACAAAGATGAAAGCTTTTTTTCTACGTTTCATTTTCGAGATTTTTTCTGGAACATAAGTAATTTATCTACATAGGAATCTCAAGATGTTTAATCTTCGCAATGATGATATTACGAATGAGAAAAGTAGGCTGATATGATTTTTGAAAGTTCATGTTTTTCAATTGCATTTAGTTATGGAATTTTTCGAACGATTGAATTCAATAGTAACTCTATTTTTATTTGTAATTATTATTAATATTTTATAAGCTTCGAAGTAATGCATGAATTGATTCATCATCCGACTTGCAAAGTTCATCGTAGTTCGAAGAATATCTTATTCAATATTCTAAGTATACTGACACCGTCTTTATTAATTATTAACTCAACCTTTTATTTTACGTATACATGGTTATTCATGACTATCATATTTTGTACGAAGCGTTCAGATTTGCATGCGACCTAATAATGGCCCTTTTAGTATTCATTGTGTAAACTCGTGCTCTACTCTATCAAATAGAATATGTCATCGCCTAATTTATATTCAACGTTGATATGCTTTGAAAAATATCAATTGCACAGAGAAATACTCAAAACAATTTAGCGGTGAATATTGATAAGTTTGTTTTGCAGTTTTAAAGTATCGTTCTGAAACTAATTATGTGATTGGTCTTTTCGCTTGCTTCTCCTAGTGATCGGCGGCTCATCATAAACTCAAAGTAAAATAACTGAGAATTCAACTCTGACGGAATCGAAATGATTGAAAGAAATTTTGTTAGAAGTTAACATATGAGTTATATATTAATGCAACAGTCAAACTCTTATGCAAAACAAGTTCCACCGTTCGCTTCATTTCTATGTTTTTTTTCTCAACGAATTTTAATGATTGGTCGCCATCTTCAATAAATTATTCTATGGCAATATAAACTGTTCACTTCTTAGTGATTCGCTTACTGTTTTTGTTTATCCCCTCAGCAGATCAATGTGACATTGCTAAATTACACAACAAAATCCGGAGATTTTCGAAGCGAAAAATGTGGTGTGCCACAGTTTGATTGAAAGGAAAACTATTGAGAAGAAAAGATTGAATGAAAACGGGACTCAAATCGAAACTGTCGGAAAAGCGGTCTTGATATAATAGATAATGTGGTTTTATAACTCCAATGAAATATTCAGATGGATAATCATTTGTTGTTGCTAAACGGAAGCAAATGACTTTGTTCTCTCTTTTCTGTACCTGTGACCTTATATAATAACAATTTTTGTTGCAACGTTAAACTCATTTTATACAATAAATAGTATTCCCTTGGATCAAACTACAGCCAGCCAAAAGTGAAGACCTATAATAATGTGTGATATTTCGGGCATTTATTCGCAGAGATTCATGTAAATCTAAATCAATGTGAGTACAAAACTGCGACCTTAAACTCATTCTCATTCTTACAAACACGCCCAATTGCTCTAGATCAATATCATAGTGCTTATCGTTTTTTCTATGTTATTTCGTCGTTTCTGCATGGTTTTTGATCATAATCTCTTGAGAATTAAAAGAATTTTTTATACAGTTGTATTTTTCTTTGATTGAATTATCACTAATTATCTTTTCCGATCACTGTACTCGTAGTCACTCTATATAATTCAGCCATGCTGACTAAAATCAGTATAGACGTCAATTCACATTTTTTTCTGACCCTTTTACTGGCGCGAAGAAAAAAATTAGCAACCATGAAACTATTGTTTCGATATTCGAATAGATTTAGCATTCATATATTAGTCATGTCATACGGTATTAATTAGTAAATAATAGATGAGCACAACATGACAACACAGAAATAAGAGAATAAAGAACAAGCGTCAGCCAAAAAAAAAACACAAGCGAGGAAGCTCAGTCAGTACAGAAAACAACAATCCAATCTGCCATTAGCATTGTTTGCGTGTGCGATTTGCAAGTGCTGTTCAGTAGACAAGTAAAAGGAAACAAATTGCGTATGACGGATGTGGGTTGCCTTCATCGTTAAAAGTCATTGTGATTGTGCATCGGAATATTTTCTTTCTTCGATTGTTTGGTTAATCTACCTATGGTTTTTATTTTTGTAAAAACCATCACGTATGAATATTTAAATATGGGTAAGTATTTATGGTGACTCGTGTCGATTATAGATAGTGACGTTTTCGCATTTGTTTACGCTTCAGGAAGTTGACTTCTATGTGATTCGCTATCGTTGTTTGTTAATACTTTTAATATTCTCTTTTATCTTCTCTATATAATAGAGAATACTATAGTTAGCTCACGTAGAAAAATATCTAATAGAAGAGCAGAGTTGTGCCTCAACTATTAAGAGTTATCTAAGTACATAATGTAATATATTTTTTGTTTCTCAATGGTAAGTAAAGAAAATAAGTATTTCAAGTTATTGTTTTTGTTCAATGACCTTACATATAATATATATTGAAAGCATTCTTCAAAGAGAAAAAATACAAAGTGCCTACTAATTATATTTTGATGAAGTCCAACTAAAAGGGCAAAACACAAGAAAAAGTTGATTAGGTCTATATAAACAACAAAAATAAAATGAGAAAACCTTGAATTTTCATTGAGAGTTTAATGATTGTATCTTTTATGTTTTTTTTTTGAGTAAGGAAAAAAAGATTTCTTTAATGTAATCAATATATACGTATACGGCAGTTTTATTGCACTATAAGGTATTTGCGTATATACGCATTCATAGTGTTAAAAAATAACTCATCTCAGACTTCATCAGGTATCTATAGATAATACGATTTCATTGGAAAACAAAACTCAATAGACGAAAAGAATTAATAATATGATTCTTTTATGTTGAACTTGTAACATTTTTGAAATTTTATCGATTATTCCTGGTACAAAGCACTAGATTCCGAAACATTGGCAATTTATTTATAAAAGAAAAAAAATAGCCTACTTTAAAATAGATCAAAAGAAGAGAGAAAACAATTAGTAAGTAATTCTCCGTTTTTCTATTTCTGTTCTATATTTGGGTCGTCAGAACGTACCTTCTCATAGGATAATAAAAGTTACATCTCTCTTTTTCATTTGCTGTATTTCTAAATTATTCAGTTATTTCTCTAGTTCAATATCACGACTGCATAGAGTGTGGAAGCAGTAGATATCTATAATTAACATGTTTATCTTTTAAGGTTTCATGAAAGCTATTCAAAACAGACCGTTGATAATTAGGGTTTTTTTTGCATCACGAAGAATTTTAGCGCTCTAACGAAATTTACTCTGATTAGCGTATAAACCATTTACTTTGTACGATAGTTATATTTTATCTATGAAAGCAACAGGAAATCCTCGCCCAGTCCCATTCTGATTGATATAATTAAATCTAGTTTCCAATTTGTTTTCTCTTTTATAAAAACTTCTTTTGTAACGATTACAATTCGAGTCTTTGTCTGAGGATAAAACCTTTCTGAGAACTTTTATCTTTATTTAGTATTATTTTCGTTATCAACATCTAAATAAGTAATAGATTGTTTTTAATGCACTAGTATATGCATGTCCGAGAGTGCTAATAACATCTATACTATTATTGTTGATATAATACTTAGCTCAGAATTGATTTATATCCTGTTTATTGTCTCGATTTTATGTTAATTGTTCTCTTCTGCTCAAAGCATTTTTCTTTTATCTTTCAATAGATACCTTTTATTATTATTATTACTACGGTGAAAATTCTTCGAATATGTTCGCAGATTGAATGTTTTATAGATTCATTTTTGTGATAGGAAAATTTATCTCATATTCTTTGCTTTGCATGGAATATCAGCCGAGTCTAGGAATATCATATTTCTACTCTCCCCAAACACGTACTATCATGTGGCTTCAATATTCAGCTTTCTTTCTCTCTCTGGATAGTTCTATATAGAATAACTACGCATGATAGTTTTTAATTGAGCAAAACGAAACATTTTCCCGTTTTACTGCATTACAACGTGCGTCATTACCTCCCTTAGGTTTTTTTCAAACAATAATATCAAACTAATACACTAGTGTTGACGTATTCATTCGTATTTTGTAGTATAAAACGATCGATTCATAGAAAATGTTATTGGAAACTCTCGACAAGAAAAATGAGCGCTATCAATGTTAATAACCGTAGGCGTTACTTTTCCTTAGGCCTATGAATTGTTTTGGAAAAAATGCTTTCTGTTTTTTTCTTGCTATAGGCTTATTCTTTGATGAATTTTTATTTTTATTAATTTTGATCTCGGAAAAAAAACATTTCAGAATTGATCTATAATAGAAATCTATGAAAGTCATACGAGAATATTTAATTTCATCGTATAATAAAAGTTAAAAGAGAAATTTATTATCTCTAATAGAAAATTTAACTCTTTCGCATTTCTTTTTTGTTTGTTTCTACACGCATTGAGAAGTGCATTTAATTTTTCAGACGTTACTCGCGCGTCAAATATTTCATCTCCTTTAATAAATCAAGTTCTCTTATCTACATTTTTCTTCTTCTTGTAGATCATTGCCTACAATTTATAAGAGAAACTGTCGTTTAAGCTAATTATCGTCAAGAACTTTTTTTTGTAAATCTTTGCTAGCGATTATGATGATGATGAAGCAACGCCGTCATTTTTATTTATAATAAAAGCTGCTGGCTTCCTTGTAAACAAAATTTTCATGAATTCAAATCAATCAAATTCAAATACATTGCCAAGTTATAAATTATATTTTGATGATGTCGAAGAAATATTTCTCAATACAATATCAGTTAAATATTTACTCATTTCATCGATAGTAATATTTCTATTAACATTCGCTAGTATTATTATATTAATATACCGATCAAGAAAAATCTTTCTTGGTTCTCTTATACCATTTATATATTCATTATTATTCTATGATTTCATTCAATTGTTATCAATAATTTTACTTAAATATAATTTATCGAATGCCAATAAAAAATATTTTGGTGAAATATGTCGTTGGCCTTATTATTTAAAAGCTTCATCGGAAGCAGGACAATGTATAACATTAATTTTCATCTATGGTATACGTTGTCAAAAAGTTCGATACTTTCTAAAACATAAACATCTACCAAATTCAAGTTATATACATTCTCGTGCATTAACATTTGTTTGCATATTATTTATTATCTATGTTAATAATTGGATAACACATTTAAAAGTTGAAAAAATTCATTTAGTGACATTGAATGAATCAAATTATGGTTTAAATATTCAAGAATATCCGATCACATTCTATGGAATTAATGATGTTAAATTAAATGATCATAGACACTTTTATTCTGACCTCGATAGGTACGCACAAAATTATGAAAAAACTCAATTAGAACAAAGTCAATCCGGAATTATTATTCAAAATCAAAAGCATGATTCAATAGATGAAATATTAATAAAAATACCCTATAATAATTTTTTTGCCCAAAATAAACCGACGACACTTAATAGAACGCGGAGAACCTTTGAAGATCGTTCGAATATCACCAATAAAACATTTTATGGAAATAACTCTTATCGTATCAATCGGTGTACATATGATCAAAACAATTATCTCCTAGTAAATTTCCTGTCTTTAATACATTCAATTTTTTACTTTATAATACTCTGCTATTATTTAACCACAATTTATCGATATAAAATTCCACATATAGGCACAGCTTATCGTCAAAAATTACATCATGATGTACTTCAAATTGGACGGAGAAGATATGTTGATCATGATAAACAACTGATTCTATTGACTCATTTACGACATTTTCAATATCTAATCGCATATTGCCATACAACATTTACAATCATTCGTCTTGTTTATATTTGTTCATTTACATTTATTTCATGTATAATTCAAACACCATTTCAATGGTTAACAATGAAAATATTCTATTACTCTCTTTTTACTATTGTCTATTACTCAATACCATTACGCGTAACATTATTGTTTCTCTATTTATTTTTAAGTTTATTTTCTTCTCATATTCATTCAATATTTTATTATATATTTCATACAAAATTACATTTTTCATGTCAACTACAAAAGCCGACCATTCGCTTTCATTTACGTTTTGTGCAATATCATCAAAGAAATATAAAATGTGTTAAACAATCAAATGATTCACTGGCACTTGATTTGACATCATCGGGTTACGATGAACCATTGTCGATATTCCCACATGAAACTATTGCTATCTACGATGGAAATAGTAGTAGTCACAATCCAGCAAGAACAAGTAGTTGTGGTATTGCTATCGAATCAGAACATGGTAAAGTGTGATTCAAATTTATTTTGTTTTTCGTAGTTTGTTTAATATGAAGCAAAAATAAAATAAAATTATACTCGAAAAAGAAAAGACTTTTGTTCAAAAAAATAAAACAACTAACAATTCAAAAACTAATTTGTCATTCTCGGAGTAAATTGAGGAGTACAATTTACTAGTCAATAGTAAAATATAGATGGGTTTCTTTTGACTATATAATTTTCTTTGTAGCTGTACTTTGTACTCCCATCGTAATTATATATGTTTGATTCTGTTCTTAGCTATTCGATCTATTTCTATTAATTGAAGATTATCTATACATTGCTGCCTTCTCATTTTATAGTAATGATTATAATTCTTCGTTGGTCCCTTCTTTTACAAGTCGATGAGCAGGCAAATGTATTTTTATGCTAATCAGTTCAGATAGTTCGTGAACTTTTCCTTTTATTCCACTAGGAAAATGTTTATCTGATAAAAATAACAGTCAATAGACAAGTTCTAACTAATATCCTGTTTAAGAAAGTTAAATATTATGAAACAAATTATCAGTGATAATAGAATTACAAATATGAAAGTTTGTTTTTGGTTAAAAGTAATATTAGCAATTGACGTTCGCAAATAAGACTCTAAAGAAAACCATAAAGTATTCACATGGCCTCATCGCACCTTTAATATGTTCAATGCGATGAGCCAGGGGTCGCTTTTTATTATAAAACGAGATTCAAAATAGTCACGGAATATAATAAAATATTGCCTACAAATACTACATAACGTTCTAATAAAACCCAAAGAAAGCTTTGATTCCTATCTATCAAATTTCAAATTAAATCTCAACACACCGAGAGAACTGAGCTCGACTAATTTCAATTAAACATTTGAAAGCGTATGGTACTACAGACAGTGAGGCTGTTTTTATATTTAAACTAGAGAAATATTAAACATCTATCGACAAAACAGTGAGGAAATTGACGCGAAACATCTGATGAGATTCTTTTGATAGTGGCTTTTGAATATCTATGCTTTAGGGAATTTGAACTTGAGCTATTCTATAACAGGAAGTGTGTATTTTCAAACATATGAAATATTTCAAAAGGTTTTTGACAGAATTTTAGTGAATTTAGCAGACATCCTCTTATGCTTTGATCGCGATAACTTTTTTTCTTTTTGTTTCTAAATGAATAGGAATATAAGAGTTAATTTCCATCTAATAAAGTAAACAATGAATTGAAAGCGACATTCAATCAAGCGAAAATAATAATAATATACTATTGAATTTTTTGTTTCGAAAAATTCTATTGTAAAAATAGAATTTTTTCTCGGTAAAGATGATAAAAACAACACTCTCGTCCAGGTAATGTCAAAGTAAACTTTTTATAAACGATTCACCCCTTTAGCACGGTGAGAGCAAGCCCCATGTGTTTCATTACGATGAAACTGCGATCGCACTGTGACCCGTAATTGCGGAAAATTGCGACGTAGTTACGCGCAACTACGATGAAAAAATCGCAGTTACGCGTAGTTACGGGGGAAAAATCACAGTTACGCATAACTGCGCCCAAGTTTTTCGTAATTATAGTTCACAGTGGCGTCGCAATTGGTACAAAAGATAACATAGATTAGGGTTCCCTTTTATTTGTATTTTTATTGAGTTTAAAAAATTTTTTGCACAAAAAATGAAAAACAACTATAAAATTAAAACTTTTATAAAAAATAAAAAACAATTTTTAAATTAAAAGTTTTCACAATAAAAATAATTGAAAAATTGAAATCTAAAAAAATCTAAAAATTTACTAAAATAAAAATTTTTAAAAAAATTTTAGTTCAAAACTTAGGGAAAATTAAAAATTAATATCTAGAAAAATTAAAAATTAATATTTAGAAAAATTACAAAATTAAAACCTAAAAAAATTTTTAAAATTGAATTTATAAAAGAAAAAGCAGAAGAAATTTGAAATAATTTAATGATAAAAGAAAAAAAATTAATTACAAAAATTGAAAAACTAAAAAAATTTTAATCTAGACATTTTTAAAAGAAATAAAAATCATGCATTTCACTGCTTGTAGTAGAATGACTTATGAACGNTATGCATTTCACTGCTTGTAGTAGAATGACTTATGAACGAAAATGTGATAAACACTACTATTACTAAGTTTTATTGTTCGAGTGTAGCCAATTACAAATAAGGAGGAATAATTTGTAATTGGTCATTTATACCTACAACAGATCGTAGGATGCGATCAGTGATCGCCGATCACTAGGACGCAGTTACGTTGATCTGAGTCATACTAAGCGTAGTTTCTTATAGAAATCTTCACTACGATCAATGCGCCATAGTTACGCGTAACTGCGGCACAGTTGATAAAAAAGAGGCAACATGGGAGACGTATTGTCTTTCCTCTCGTATATGTACATATATAGTAAATATCGTGCATCGTCAATATATTATATTTATATTTATTAATAAATTTATTATTAAGACAGTAAATTATAAGTAACAATGGCAAAAAAATCAAATAGTCAGTATTTAACTATGTCGAATAAAGACACGGATGATTTATGTGACCACAATCATGAAATACTTCAAAAATTAATCCTAAGTAAAAATAAAAATGAGACCTTATTAAATAAAAATAGGTTTAAACACAAAATGAAGAAGGAAGCCATCATTTCAAAAGACAGCTTACATCAACTAGCCAATATGGAGATAGTGAATTACAGGACGATGATAATAATCCTTTTATTTTTATTAGCAAAGGAAACAAAGAAATCATGAAAGGAGCTCAACATATAGTATTGAAAACAATGATACCGATACTATTGAACAAAGCAAATCAGCAAAATCAAGCAGCAACAGCAGTCGTCTCTTTGTAACCAGATGGCGATGACTCAGACATGAATAATGTCGATACCTCAATATTACGTCATAAGCTAAATCGAAATGTAAAAACCAATGAATATGCACATTATAATAATTTACAGGATCAGGAAATTAATATCTCTAAGCAGGCTTTTAACTATGCTGTTGAGCAACATTTTCCACCTTTTGATATTAAACGTACACCTAAATTAAGTGATCATGAGAAAGGAAAAGAAATCATTAACGCAATTTTCATACACATTGAAAAGGATTTAAAAAAACTAAATAAGCATTATGCTATGCAATTAGGGTTCGAGTATTGGTACATTGATAAAAATGGAGATTTAGTATGTTTTACAAAATATACAGAATTATTTGTTTATTTATCTGAAAGTCATACTATCCAACATCATTAGCGCAGACAAACATTTTACCTTCTCGGCCAAAACATCTCCCAAGTCAACACTCGTTAATATTGAAATATGTACCAAATTACATTACACTGGAGGAAATACAAATGAAATTAGCTTACATAGAAATTCTTTATTTAGCACAGAAGAAATGAATGGATCGAAAACGGATAAATACCGTCATTTAAGACTTGAAATTAAATCTACAACTTAATACAATGATTCAGTGTAAAAAGGAGAGATAACAATCGAAGGTCATTTAATTGAATTACATGAATTTTTTGCACCACCACGTCTCTTAATCCCTAGTCAACTCTCCCTAGAAGAATCCCCAGGGGGTTCCCCGGACAAATCCCCGGGGACTCACGACAGGGACTCCCCAGGGATTTCGTTATTTTACAGGGACTCCCCGGGGAGTCGTTGGGGGAGAGTCGATTAGGGAATTTGCTCAAAATGTAATGACCCAGGTCATATCAGAAGAAATTGCAACTTTAATTATGATGCTTGCCGTCTATGTGGGCAAGACAGATCGAATGGTAATCACAAAGAATGTAGTATATGCTGTCATCGATGTAAACAAAATCACATTGCAACAAATTACAAGTGCTAATTTTTAATAGATTACAGAAGATCTCTTCTCCTTCAATTAAAACAAAAATCGCACTTATTACCTCCTATAATGTGCAATTGTTTATCCCAGGTGAATGAATCCGACAGTGAATCCTATCGGATCTCATCGGATCCGACAAGCCGACAAAATCCGATCAGATTCCTGGCCACGGACCTACTAACGGATCCGACGGAAAAAAACATTTTCTTAATCACTAATGAATAAGCACATGGTACCAACAGAACACATGGGTCGAATGCTTATGTTGGATTCCGTTAAATTCCGACACTGGAACCTATCGGATTCCAACACTAAGGTTTCGATTGTAGGTCCCACACTCGGACACCGATAGGATTTCGTCAGCTTAATGAAATTCATAATATATCCGATAAGATTCCGACACAAATCCGATAGGATCCTTGTATCGGAATCATTCTCCTGGGATCCCAACTGAATGTCGTGAACGTGGAGATAGAAGTTGTAATGTAGTAGTATACACTACTGTTATTCTCGTTTCGTTTCTATTGTTTTCTGTTTCTTTCGTTTCTGTTTTCACAGTATGCTAGAAGTATACATATAGATATATGTATTGTTTTTCTTTCGTTCTCCGATCTTTTCTTGACCTCAACTTAGATTGGTTATTCTTAAAAAGGAGAAAATATTATTTTCGATCGTGACCTTGTTTTCTCTATTACGCAATAATATTGTCTATTGCGTAATATATATTTTTGTGCGTTTTGAAAATAAAGGGAGATTTGTTAAGATTAGATTCTTTGGAATACGTGACAGAAGTAAAACAATTACATGTAATAAAATCTCAAACGTCAATATGAAAATATATAATAACACACAAAAAAAATCAAGTTCAGCGGATACCATTCAATATTAACTCGTACAATTGACCATCTGTAGAAAATAACCTACGTAATCATAGTGATAAAACATTAGAAGAATCATTATATGGAAAGAACTAAAAAATAAATAAGATGAAATTGACAAATAAAAAGATGAATTTAACGGTAAAATTCAACAATGCCAAAGCAAACATGATGATAACATGAAAAAACTAAGATCTATATTGCAAATAATTTCAGCACAAACAAAATATCAAAATGAAAACGTTGAACGTTGTTATTCAATAATAAATGAGTTTATTCCGCTATTATCTTCAACGTTAACTGTATTTCAGAAGATGAATTCAAAATATGCGGCAACAAATGATTCGAATCACATCAACAGCGAAACTCAGCAACTGGCACGATGCATTTCCAAAGCAACTGAAAGTATATAAGAATGCAACAGTGCTCTTATATCAAATCGCAAATCACCTCACAGTCTCGTCGATCAACAAGGTCAGTTTTTAGTTCAAGCAGTTAATAGTTTAGAATTACATATAATGAATAATACAACATTCCATTATGCGACGTCGATAATATGCTCAGAAGTAATTAAATCATACAATGGAACCAATAACGAAAAGAAACTAATATCAGAAATAATAAACGAATGGAACTTCCACACATCAATATCCTGTTTATCGAACAAATGGAAAAAAGTGAGGCCCCATTCCATTAGGCACAATTTATTTATTTTTATTGTATAGCGTTGACGGATTACATACTCATGTTGCGGATGTAGATTCACTGTTGAACAAATATCATTCACATATCGGTATTCTTACTGGAGTAGGTGTTTCTGTATGTAAACAGATAAATTTTCCCAATTACAAATCAATAACTCAACCTGGAACAAATTATTTTGGAGGAGTAATGCTTTTATACCAACATCATTTAGACTGCAAAACAGTAGAAAAAGACCTAAACTTTTGAATGATCGAATTAACTTCTACTCACAATCATTTATATATTTGGGAATTTCAATGCTAAACACTTAAGCTGGGGATGTAAAAAGAACAACACCAGTGGCGTACACTTATAAAACTGGTTCGAAACAACAGAAAAAGAAATTTTATCATCATCTAAATTCACATCGAAAACGATGTGAATCGATAATTGATTTTGGAATTACACATGATGCAAGTGGATGGCCATCAGAAGTATTGAATGAAGGAACATCCGATCATTTCCCTATTTTATTTCAATCGCCATTAGGCAAAAAAGAAGACACGTTCTTTAGAAAAACAAACTGGAAAATATTTAACTTTTTTCTTCATACTATACATGAATATTGGATGTTATTAGTGTACAATCTTGATGAGCAAATTTTCTTTTCTTTTTTCTCCTTATTTCTTTCATCGCTATGGGATAGATGCAGTGTTTATGAAAACGCTGCAAAATATCGAACATCATGCCCACCGGAAATAGTACTACTGGCGAAATCTGTAAACAGAGCAAGAAGAATTTATAGAAGAAATAAAACTGACTCAAAACTCCAATATTATCTATCGTTGAAAAATATATTCATGGATCAACGAACGCAATACTTATACGAAAAAAGGGAACAGAAATTGGAATGGATCAAACAAGGACATAACTTATGGAAATTTGCTAAACCATCGTTTTATGTATTCTCTTCGCAATTTAAAGGATTAAAAACAGAATCTGAAACAATAACAGATGATACAAAGATCGTTGACACACTGGATGACTATACTTTGAAAAACATTTCAAGGAACCAGAATATGATGAATACAACCAAGAGCACTTACTTGCAATAAAAGCATTCATGCAAATTCGATACTCCCCAAACGTACCACTTGAACAAATAACGATAAACGAAGTCTACCTAGAATGGAAAAATTTTAAACCGAAAAAGTCGAGTGGCAGTGCGGGCACCTCAGCCTTCATATTAAAACAACTCCCAACTTAATACATTGGAATCATAACTATATTGTTCAACAAATGTGTTTTGAAAGGAAATTTGTTTTGAGGAAAGCAAACACGCAAAAGTAATATTCCTTTCAAAAGACGGGCCTTACCCAACTGAAAATAAACTACGACATATCTCGCTACTACCCAGCATAGGAAAGTGGTATGAAAGGATTATTCATAAAAGATTATTAAAATGGTGCGATGGAAATAATATATACGTGGATGAACAATCTGGTTTTTCTTCTAAAAAAAGACTACAAACTAGAATAATTTCATTAATCGAAGATATAAGACTAACTATAACAGTCTTTAATAGACCTGCGTTATATGTATTTTCGTTGATCTTCTTTCCGTATTCGACAGAATGTGGTTTCCTGCTTTACTTTCCACCTTGACTAAATTGGAAATGTCCCTACCACTCATCAAATGAATCATCTCTTGGCTACAAAATAGAACCTTTTTAATACATTATGACGGTAAAATCTCAAGAACTATAAAGATGCATACTGGAACACTACAGGGATCAATACTGACTGCAACTCTATTCAGGTTTCGCATACACTTCTTACCATCAATTTTCTTTCAAACAGCAACAACACACCTTTTTGCGGACAATTTGGCTATACTAATGACAGGGTCACTAGAAAAGAGATTTTCGTTAAACATTGTTGAACTAGAAGAAATAACAAAGCACATGATGTCCATTTTAGAAAAATACGCCGAAAATAATCTTTTACCAGTAAATATCAAAAAGACGAAGGCAGTCTTGGTGCATAATGTTATTGCTCCACAATTACCAAAACTATAATACACAAAACAAAAAATTGAAATAGTTCCTTCATTTAAACATCTCGGAGTAAGAATAACACAAAAACTGGATTGGGGAATAGACATCGATGATAAACTTAAAACAATAAGAAAAACCTATAATGCAATGAAAACTCTTTGTTTGCAATATTCCCAGAAGTGAAGTGTCCCTCAGACGCAGAATATTTTTACCTGTCTCACTTTATTTGGTTAATAACAACATGGTTCTTTTTTTGTGAAAACCAACAAGAAAAAATTAATAAAACATTCATTTCGGATTTAAAAATAGTTTACAGACTTTATGGATGGGATGATATTACAACCTTAATTCTTTGTCAGGAAAAAACATGGCAAGATTACATCTATGCTTGCTGGTTGCACTTTTCACTTCATCTTGATAAATCTTTGGAATCTACTTCGTATCAACATACTTCGACAGCGTGTCAGACTATAACTACACTTGATAAAACATTCTATAAAAAATTAGGGTTTAGAAAAAACAATAAATTTTTGAGCAGACTAGTTGCAAGAGCAAAACATAGTAGATATGACTGGATGCAATTTCAACAGAATCACAGGCCGCAACATGAAATATTTATAAAATCAACTCTTTACTTAAACATGTTCATCTATAAATATTTCTTACTACCATCTTAAATTGTAAAACTGCATTGCTTGAATAACATAGTATGCAAATGTAAAATAATTACACATGGATATCTCTGTGTCGCTACTCAGGTCGAATATTCCGACCACTGGATCCCGTAGGATATTCCAGGAAATATGCGGGAAAGTCACCATTTCCTGTATGGAAACACGGGAAATCGCTGGAACATGGAAGCAGTATTCCGGTCAAAAAGACGGCCGAACTTTTTCGGTGGATTCCTGCCACGTTCCGGTGCTTTCCGGCCGGAATTAATCAGAAATCACCGGAAAAATTTCCAACCAAAATACTGCTTCCACCAAATCAACGGAACTACCTGGAACCGGCCGTTCCCAGGCCGAACTGTTCGACCTGGGTATATACATAAATAAACACTTATGCAACATAATTTAATTTTTATAACATGTTTCATTTTATTTGATGGTTAAGAGTTGTATGATGCTATCTTTTTTCTATTTTCTTCATGTTTCTATTCTTTCTCTTTTCTCTATCATTTTTTTTATATCACTTGTTTTTACTTTTCCTTTCTATTTTTCCTCTACATTTAACATGTGAACCAGTATACGGCACATTCCCAGGTCGTTCATTCCTACAACTGGATTCAATCGGATCTGACAATGGGTTACCTCGGATCTTATATGAAAACCCACGAGAATCGATGGATTCCGAGTTTCGGATTCATAGGATCGGAACCCAATACATATCTGATCGTATCCTACTCTGGGGTCCGATACGCCAAAAGCGTCTGCTATAGTCAACCTCTAAAAAGCTTTTTTGCACTAAATAGGATTTTGATAATTTTTTAAAATTCTCCCGTCGGATCCGTCAATAATTCAGAAACCCAAGATCCAATTGAATCTCCTCGGTTAGTAGGATGTTATAGCATCCGATAGAATGCGCCGTCGGATTAGTCGACCTGGGATTACAAATAAATGTTTAAAAAAAAAGTTTCTATAACTGACTAACTGGCAGTTTTACTTGTGAATATAGAGAAAATAGTTCCGACATAATTTTTCAGACAACAGAGAGAAGACATTTTAACACCTATGTTAATAGCTTTTGAGATTTTGGCAACGGACTATGAAAATAAACAAGAAAGGTACTAAATCATTGATATTCTACTCTTGAGCGTTAACATGCATATGAAAAACTTGACATTGACGTTATTATCATTCATTATGTGGCACATTTCTAGCATTTAATAATGCGGCATAATGCTAACGACGTAATTCCAAATATAGATTCATCTTTTGTTTTCTTAATTTATCTATGAAGTGCGGGATGATTTGTAGCACAAACATCTCCGCTTCTGATAAGAATCTTCTTCACTAACGTTGTTCTCTCAACAACATTATTTTTCTTTTCACAGATTTCATATTTATAGAAAAACTCAATAGAGAGAATTACTAACCTCTTACTATAAGTAATCTGATCATCGATCCTCCTCAAATGAAATCCTTACTAGCTAAATTTTAAGCAGGGATATATTTTTAAAGTGTACATATAATTATTAACATACAGTGTTTCAAAAAAAAATAACAATGATCAATCACTCTCAAACAATAAACAAACACACGTTAAAAAGTGTCTAGACGTAAATAAGTAAAGTTCTTGTTCAGATAGCTTCATCGATGGTTTTTCCAAAGCAAAAAATAGATGTCATTTACATCAAAAATAAAAATGTTGCAAAATCATTGAAGTTTTATTTAACAGTTGTTGTTACTTTTTTTTGTTTTTTCATAACATTGGCTTGCGATGTTGGAACGACAACAGCTTTTTGTTGAGGAGGATTTTTATCTGCGAATTGAGAAAAACAAAGGCATTTTTCTGTAAGTTACTTTTATTTTACTAATCTCAATTACTCTTTTTTAATGCTTGAAGACGCCGAGGATTTTTTACACAACCATCAGCACCCATTAAATGGTCACGCCATGGCTTTTCACCTTCGCGAATATTCATATGGCATAAAGGACAACGATTTGTATTTGGTTTTGTTTCTACACATTCTTTAAGTTTCACATGAGCATCAAAATCATTTCCGATCGCTTCTGTACATCGAGAACATTGTTGATATTTACTCTTCTTTTGACATTCACGTAGTAAATGTTCAATATAAATTCCCACTTCGACTACCTGTGAAATAGAATATCGCATGTGAATAGAAATGAAGAATAAAACAAACTTGATTGCATTCTTGACATCGTCGTAACATTGGGCAACTAGCCCAATAATGTGTTTCAAGACCAGCACGAATGAATTCATCATTTTTTTCTCCACAAAATATACATGTACTAAAATATTCAACCAAACGATTTTAATTATGTCATGCAATCTTCTTGTCGGCAATGCCGATGATTCACCGTGCGTAAATGAACGTTGGTAGCTCATTCTTTTTAAACTAATTTTTGGTCCCTTTTTTATTTTGTTTTACGAATTAATTTCATTTCATTTGTCATGAAAGCGAGCTATAAAAGTCAATGCGGTTAATACAAAGGCCTCAAGTACGTTCATGACGACATCGAAACAAGAGTTCGATGATAATAGTGTTACTTTTTCTTCTGCTTAGAGATGAGAGAAATTCAAGCAGCAAAACCGCAGTGCTGTGGACATGGATGATAGTAGGAAAGGGCATTCTATATGTTGAGATATGAAACTAAGAGCAGCATCTGAGATCTTTCCTATCGTATACTAAGACTCCAAACTTTTAATAATCCTTTCATTATATGTAGAAAAATTTGCACGAGTTTATTTCTCATAGAGGTTAAATTTCACTATTTCAAAAGAGATTTATAGTTAATGCCAACCTTATTTTGAACAAGTGAAAATATCAAGTGATTGAAATCGTCATTGACCGTTGAGTTTCGAGTGAGATTATCTATTAGTCTCCTCTGCTATAAGTTACTAAGTGAAAGAAGCATTTCTGATTATTTTCGTAATTGTGGAAATTCAGCTGCGTAATCAAGAAAAAACTTGCTTTCAATTCCGGTTCCGAAAAGCTTTTATTTCTAATTTTCTTATTAAGCTTAATTTTTAAGTGCTTTATTTTTATGCATTCATTTTTTTTTAAACTCGAGATTTTCGCAGTAGGATTTAATATTAAATGCTGTACTATGTGAAAATAAAACCTTAACCGTTTGATAGGAGTAATATCAAAAGACGGCCCTTTCCATGTCTTGAAAGAGAATTATTTCGTTGTCAACATTCTAAAACTTTTCTGAGAAGAAAAATTCGACTCTGTGAAGCCGGCACTATTATAAGTACAAGAAAAGTTCAGCACACAAACAGATCAAGGTAAACATGCAGTCTGTTGAAAGAACAAGCAATAATTAATCATTATATTTAACAAAGTAAAAGATTAGTAAAAATAATCACAATCAAATATGATGTACAATCGAATCATTCTGAGTTAGAATGCTTCAATGAAGCGTGCAAAGATGTTTTTCGTAAAATTTTCCCCAAGTATTGCTTCTTTTTCCGACGTTTGACCAGTCTTTACTTGGTAGTTATCAATGGATGTGAATCTTCTTTTCACCGTCACCCTCACACATATATTCAGCCACTCTTTCGATAGATATCTGTTTTACCTTCATTCTTTCGTGCTGAACTTTTCTTGTGCTCATCGTTCACCAATCCCTATATTCTATTGTTAAAAAAATTTATATAGGAAATGATTGTTTGCGTATATTTTTAATTGAACTTTTAAGTTTTAGTATCTGTTGATACAGTGGAATGATTCTCAACGATAAGAGAACTAGGGATAATCGAATATGACTTTCGAGAATTTTTCTACCAATGGGCAAAAAATCCGATTATCATCTATTAATTAGATAATTATTAAAAATCAAAACAATAGCAGATGGTGAGAAATTTAGGAACAAGTATTCAAGTTTTTTCTCCTTTAAACTTGCGTAACAATATCAATGACATTAACTGTGAATATATTACGATATGTTTATTCGTATTACCGCATAATACAGCGGTCAAATAAACTTTTCCGAAGTAATGAATTTCTATATTTGAGTGAAAGAAAAATTTCTTTTTCTCTTTCGAACAATTGTAAAAACATAAAAATACTTGTATTCTGAGAGTAGAATCTATTTTGGTTATTTCTCGAAATCTAATTATATTAAAAGCTTACTTTTCTGGAGTGAAATCAGATTCATCAGCTACACTCATTGTTGGCGTTTTCCGGTCGAATCGTGTTGGTGTTCGAGATTTATTTGATGAAATTTTAGCATCAAACTGAAATATGAAACTTTTGTACAATTTCTTTTAAAATATCAGAGTTTCATTCTTTACAGATTTTCTTTGTTCACGAGGAGCATGCTGCTGTTTTGGTATGTCACGTTTTAACGGGTCGATTGGTTCACTTGTCCTTTTTACTCGATCCAATGGAAGATTATTATTTGGTGTCTAGAAAGAATTTTTTTTCTATAGAAAATCTATATCAATTATTTACTTTTTCAACTTGACCATCCATTCGATTGAATGCATCAAACATGTCACGATACTTTTTAACTCGTCGAGTCTGATCATTTTCTTGTGGAAGATATCGTTTGACAATGGATCCATGAATCTATTTTACATGAAAATGAAATATCAAATAAAATTCTTTTGTTTTCTTCTTCGTACCTTGTATAAATTGAGTAAAATTTTTATAGCCAATTCTCGTACTTCACCAGCTAAAATAAGATGAATAAGGAAAAAAAATTAAGGTTTGCCAGTGATAGATTCACATCGCAGATTAGCCTAGATAGTTCAATGAAGTCGGAGTTGATCGTTTTTTTACAACGATCTAAGCGACATTTTATATTCTAGGAAGATTTTATATGAGAGTTATTTGTGTTTTCTAATCTAATATCAACGAAATTTAATACACATTTGCCATTAAGTCGCTAATATTTGCAGGCTAAGATTCATGAAATAGACCAAAGAATTTTTCCGTTCAAAATATCTCCACAGATTTTCAACTATTTCAAAAATAAAGTTTATTTACTCTCGAATAAATGTTCAGTTTACTAAAAAAGAAACCTTCGTCAACAGTATTTTTCATGATTCTTCTTGTAGAAATTTATTCAATTCGACATGCTCACTCATAGGAATGAGTCTAAGTTGTATGAACAAGAAATGGAGTTTTAACTCTTTGAATCCTTCGTCCTGATTCAAAGAAATAGATCGAACAAAAATTTTCTCAAGGAAATTTTATTTCGCGTTCGAATCTATAATAGATCTGCAATTAAGTAAAGTCTTAAAAACAATATGCTTGTAGAAAACTGCTAAAATTCAACGTACCATTATGTTCTACTGCTTGCGCACAAAATTTACTAACATTATCAACATTTAAACCATTATCACCTTTTTTAACATCCAAAATTTTCATTAATTCTTCAATAAGTTCACATCGACTAATTGCTAATCTTGGTGCACAGGTTTTATTAAATGGGTAAACACAATAATGCGGTATAAGATGTAACGGTTTTAACTCTGGATATGATGCTGATTCAATAATAGCTTCTTGTGCTCGTAGTCTTAAACGAGCATTTGAATCTCCTGTACGTTGTAAGAGAACAGGTAGAACACGTTCTAAACTTGCAACAATATCTTGTTTTTGTATTGCATGTCGTCGAACGTAATCATTCATTAATAAGTGAAAAAGTTTGAGAGAATGCGAAAAAGTTGCAAATACATCAAAACGAAACATTCGTGCGACAACAAAACTACCAGCACGTAAATAGGCACGAGCATCTTCAGGATCGCCAGAAAACTTCTCTAATATTTGGTAAATTTCACCCAAAGCTTCTTCACGTTGTAGATGATTTCGATGATAAAGTTTACCAATCTTACAAAAGAAAAATCAATTTTATAGGTAATTATCTAAGGTGCTCATAAAAAAAAGTGTTGAGAAAGCTCGAAGCTTTCATTTTCTAATAGAAAAAAGTATTACTTTGTACTTCTCAGATATTAATCATAAAATTTTAAGCAGATCAGTTGTTACGATTTACGACTGAGATATCGAATAGTTTAATAAATATGAGGATGTAAATGGTTATCAAAGAGAGTCAAAATATTTTCAGCTATATTACTTTATTGAATAAATCTTACCAAGTTTTTATCAAATACAATCATCATTTGATTTGCTTCAATCATTTCAGCTTGATTCAATTCAGCTGTTGCATCATCGTTACTTGTTGCAGCAGTTGTTATTCCTGATAAACTTTCGGTTTCATCACTAGTCTTTCGGCTAGTATCATTATTAGATACGGATGCTGCTTGTGGTGGTCCAGCGTCTGCACGAGTTCGATTACGTAGCGTCGGGATAACTTTATCTTCATATGGAGTTGATGGTTTTTGATATTCTGGCGAAGTAGAAACATTCCCGTTAGCAGGAACGCCCGTTCTTGGCGTGGCATTTCCAATGGGTGGCAATGGTGATGTTGTTATTTCAAGTGGAGCTGTTGATGGTGCACCATATGACATAGTCGATTCAGATAAGCGACGAGTTTTAACTGGATTCAGTGTACGTGCTAAATAAAACTATCAATAATGTTGTTTTTATGATTAGAATAAATAATTACCATGATTTTGTTGTTTTGCTGGACGAGCAGGAGGCTAAAATGCAGAATAGAAATTGATTAGTAAAGACAAATTTTGTATTTTGAAATGTGAATTAAACAAATATCATGCAAACATGTGTTGATTAAAGATAATATAAACTATCAACAATATTCAATGTAAACAAACCAATACAAAATACAAAACTATCAAATTACCAGATTAATTATTTCTACCTCTTGATCATTATCATCATGTCGTTGTTCATTATAATCAATTTCCTGTAAACGCTTTAAAAATTCGGTGCCTTCACCACCCTCCTATGAGACATATATACAGACAGTTTTAGTTTGGTTTTATGCCAAAAAGCAAGAACAACGATGAAAATTATATTTTCATTCTATTCAACTTACAATAACAATATCAAGTAAATTGAGTGCTTGCAGTTGTTTATATGTTTCATCACGATAAAGTTCGATTTTCTTTTTTTTAGACTGTGCCGTATCGTAGTCTTCGTTCTAAAAACCAAATTATCGGAAGATAGTTTATAAGATTATGCATGATTTCATTTGAGCTATTATCTTCTATTTCGCTTTGAAAAATTATTTTCCGGTCTCGTCTTGAAAAGAATTCCTGTACACATTAAATAGTTTCATTAATAATTGCTACAAGCTAAATTCACTTGGAGTAACAATGTGCCGGATGTTATAGAAGATCCTGCTGCCACAATGAATTGATTATTTGAAGAAGAAAAAACAGGAATTTCCATGAACACATGTAGTTCAAGTTTTTTTTTAATAGAAAATCTTCAAAGATTAAAGTCTATATGAGTCTCTTTCTAAGTATTTTTAGTTCAGGTCAAGAAAATAGAAAACGTGAGCTTCTTTACGTGTATTCACACCATTGCGTGTTAAATGATATTAATTGACTGAAGAAATATGATCATAAACATTATTGATAGATCTCAAATTTCGAAAACAAAAAATTGACCTTTTCCTATGTATATCGTATTTCCTGATTGAATTCATCAATATCTCTTGCGTTCTATGATATTTTAGCTTGCGATAGTAATCGAAGAAAGTGTTAGAATATATTATGAAAACATACTTCAATAGCTTGTCGCTTTTCGACCTCATATCGAGCAAGTCGTTCGCCGATCTTAATAAAACAATGTTTAGAACTATTTATTAGCGAGCAAATCAGCATATACATTAATCAGTTCTTGTATTGCTTGTTTAAATTTTCGAGCTTGATCAAAATTTTCATCTAATTATACATAATAATCAATAGAAAAAATTATGGAAGTGAGTTTTGTTTTTACCATGAACATGCTGTTGCTTTTTTCTTTCTAAATTTTTAATAATCGCAGCTATTTCAGGATCTTGATACATTGCAAATGCTAGATCATCAACTATGGATATTTGATCCGATCTAGAACAAAATCAGTTTTTTCTTTGAAAATCAATTTACTTCTCATTTTATTTTTACCGGTTAGAATTCGGATCAAATTGGTCGTCATGGTTTTCAAGTGACTAAAATTAGATCGATTTTACAGTTTACATAGGCAAAGCAAATTCAACAGATGTCGCTTATTGTATTGTCTAATTACTAATGCTCGTGCCAAAAACCCCTACCAAATAGATATACAAGTTGAAGAAACTCATTCAATTGAATCAATGATTCAGATCGAGTGCTGTCTGTAAGGACAATCAAACTAGATTTTTACATGCAGTGTTGTTTATTGTCAATCTTTGACCTATAGGCATGATTTCTATACATAGTTGTTCATGTGATTATTAGCTGCCTGAAGTAGCCACCACTTAAGGTGCCTACATGACTTTGCTTTCCAAGAATTCAAATTATTTCTACTCAGAAGAAAGCGAATAGAAAAAAAACTCACACTCAATTAAACTCGCTTTAATTAAATAAACTTCTCTCTTAACTTTTAAAAATAAATTTTGAAATCAAAATACATAGAATTTTGCTTACCTTATCACTGTCAATGCCGAGCAGATTAATTGCAATAATACTAACCTAATATTTCAAAAATTACAAAGCTTTCGTTGTTTTGAAATTATTTTACTGACTTGATTATGTGTATTATATCGATTTGTATAATTTTTATGTATAATTAATTTCAAGAACAAACCATTAGCATCTACACGTATTGATTTCAGTTCACGGGACTTGAAATTTGTTCGGTCATTACTCGATAATTCAATGTAGCTAAACAGAAATACTAGAATAGAAATTAAAGCAAATGAAAATTCGAATTTTTACCCCAAACGAGTATAACGAGCATTTTCATATTTAACATTTTCCTCCGATGGACTATCCCCGATTAGAAATTCAATTTTTGATGCTAAAATATACGTTTATCAAATAGTTATTAAAGATAAAATTTAAAAAATTACCAATTAGATATTGATGTGAAAGTAATTGAACGCGTTTTAAACGCATGTAATTTTCAAATTTAAGAACAAGCTCTTGTGGATATGAACATAGTCGGCTACTTTGCCAACCATTTACATATGGCCCATGATGATGTAATTCAGTCGCCGCATGTTGCTCATCAGCACTTGTTGAATGAACAACTTGAAATTGAATTTTCCGCGTCATTATCTCTAATATTTATTTTTTATTCATATTATTAAATAGATCGTTTATCGTTACGGCATTAATCAAATTCAATTGAATACTTTTGCTTAGTTCTATCCTCTATAGATTCTTCATATGCACGCATAACAGAGGTTGACAAAACATTTTTTATTCGTTCTTTTATGTAATTGCACAATCGACCAATAATACCGTTTTGTCAAAAAGGTGGTTTTCAGACTGAGAATTGCTTTGCAGAAGAAAATTCAAAAAAATGACTGATAATGCATCGGCCTCTAATTTTGATACTTACATTGGGGATTTACATGAAAATCTCGATCGGCTTCGTGATATGTCAGATGTTGATGAACAATCATCAGCGATCGTTGCTGATCTTGCACAAGCTTATTCTGAACATCCATCACCGATGCAAACAGGTGATCGATATAAATGAAAATCGAATACAACAAAATAATCTAATATTAAGTTCTTTTTCAATTTTAAGCTATGTGTTTATCATCTTTGTTTTGTGGTCAAAAAAATATTCTCACATTTCTTCGACGTTCTTGTTCAAAAACTGAAGTAAAAAAAAGTAATTTCAGTAGAATGATAGGCAATTAAATTTTAATTTTTTAGTTGAAAAAAACTAAAGTTGAAATTTTACAATTTCTTAAATTTTTCGTTGAAACGGCTGCTACGAAAATTCTACCACATGCTGTGGAACTTAAAACAGTTCTTCTAACAATTTTTAATGTCGATACTGCATCGGACGTTAGAGCAGCTATATTTCCGGTTTTATCGCAAGTAAATATTCAATGATGACTTGTGTTTCTATACACTACTCGTGCACTTGATTTAGTTAATGGAATTAAGTGCTAGCTGTCCTGATATGCAGAATGAAGTCGATAAATTGGCTACGACTTTTCTAGATCAAATCGGTCTGTCAAGTTCGAAAGCAACAGCAACAAGTGAAATGATTCTTTGATAGCAGAAGAAAAACTCGACGTTTCTGTTTTTTTCATATTTAGTCAAAGGACTTTGCTTGGCATGCCTTGGTTTATTATGTAAATTTTTTCCAGAACACATGAGAAAATATGCGGATCCACTTTTACTTAGTCAATATTTGAAATATTTACATGAACAAGTGAGTTGATCAAATACAGAAAAGGGAAATGAAATAAGCCATTCGCTTAGTATTTCATTGAACGAAAAAACAGAAAATAGGAACTCCAGATGAAAATCATAATCAACAAAAAATATTTCCGTCTCATTTGTTTTTAAATTTTAGTTAGTCAAAGATGTAAAATTTGAAATGTTAATTGCCGCAGGTGCTATAGAAGGTCTTATTAATTATCTCGTTAATTTTACTCCATCATCAACACCTGGTAAAATTTATTAAAACTTTTCACAGCATCGAATTTGAATCTTGATATAGTGACGACACCGGCACCTATGATTCGGGGTAAAACTAAAGAAGAAGATAAGCGTTTGAACGAAGAACGAATTCGATGTGAATCAGATTTAAAACGAGTTTATATCTATGGGGCACGTGCGATACAAACACAAGATCAAACTAATTTAAATCGATATGCATTAGTTAAAGGTAAGACATAACCTACTGGCGAATTAAACGAAAAGAAATAATAATTTTATACTTCAGCTGGTCTTGAACTGTTTGCTCAACATTCAACATTGTTCACAGAATATCTTTATGATGATTATCCTGAAATACTTCGATGTATTCGAGCATGGAATGTCCATGATAATTATGACGTTAAAAAAATAGCTCAACGTTCCTATGACAATTTTTTACTTGGAGTAAAAATTGAAATAGAGCAGTTTCGATTTCTTATATCATCATTATTTCTAGGTTGCTAATGCATTAAAAGAAACAAATGTTAAAACACCAGAGGAACGTTGTCGTGCTGTACAAGTGTTTCAATATTTTATTAAAGAATTTCGTGATAAAATAGATACACCCGAATTAGAAATTCGAGACTTAGCCATGGGAATTCGTGGTTATGGAATTTTCGCTAATGTAAATATTTTTATCTACTCTACCTAGAAATAACTTTCCCAGATGCTAGTTTTGGCAGAAAAATATAGTTCGTTTTTACTGATACATAAAACCGCTGAATGAAATTTCGTTATTTTGAATTTAAATGTAAAACTTGAACTATAGTTTTGTATTTTCTAGGCTTGTAAACTCTATGGTACAGAAGAAGATATAAAATTTATGTTTGTTGGCCTTATTCAACGCTGTGAACAAATCGCTATGTCAACAGTAACATTATCACAAGCAGCGGATATTTTTGATGAACGTTTCTATGGATTGCCTAATCTAATCGATGCTCTTTCAGCTATTATTATTGAAATGACAAACGTAAGAATGTGCCGCAACACAGCAGAATTTTATTATGAAATTGATTGATTTAGATTGGCGAAGAATTTCTCGGTCCACTCGAACGTTTAACTGTGATGACAATTGATTATTATCCTCGTTATCAGCCTAAACCTCAAGCCACAACATGTTCATCTGTAATTAAAATGATTTTAGCTTTACAAACAAAACCAAATTCATACAAACCATTTCTATCACGAATAGGTATCTTTACTTATATCTTAAATTGGCTTACCTCACATCTTAAATCTATTTTGAAGTAACTCAAGCGCTTATTCGTTGCTGTTCTCATCCATTAAAATCAGCTGTCGAAGAAGAATTAGAAAATTATGAACCAAATGTATCCGAAGATAAACTAAAATCTCTTCTATCAATCGGAAAAACAATCACCTATGAAAATTATCTTCCACTATGGAAATCACTTTTAAGTGTGATTTCACTCAAAGTAATTTAATTCAATAATTATTTCATTTTCTTGGATTCGTTTTCTTGTTTTTCATTCAAGGAATTTGATACAAGTGCATATCCAATATTCGAACGACAAAACATGCTTGTTTCGTTGTATGACGAAATCATAGAATCAATTTTACATATTATCGATCGACTTGATTTGAGTGTTGAAAAAGAAAAGCAAGATGTAGTGATACTGTAGAATTTTTTTTCGTTGTGACAATGGTTAGAATTTAGGGTGAAAATCATGATGAAACTACCACAACGGATCCAGTTTTTGGCATGCGACCTGTGAAACCCATCGATTTTCAAATATTCTATAATCTCGTCGATTTTTGTCAGTAAGTCTTATTACTTTTGCAGAATATTAAACTTATGAGTGCATGAGAAATAAATAATTCAACTGTTATTTTTTTCTTAAAGGGATTTATTACCCGAACAATCACCGGAACTGTTTCTAAAATGGATATTTCGATTTTTATACGACATCATCGCAACATCAACAAAGTTTGTCTATAGGTCTTAATTAATCAATTTTAATCTAAAGAATATTTTAATTTAGATATCCATTAGTTAGCGGTGTATATCGATTTGCTACGTTCGTTATGAATATCTGTTTGAAACTTGATTATTTCAAAGTAATTTTAAAATCTTCTTTTTTATGATAAATTTTTTATTTGTTCGATTTTTCTTAGTCAAATCGTTCCAGAATGGGTGCTGAAATTGAAATGATGGAAATTGATATAAACGAAAATGAACAAATTCAAGCTGCTTGTGGACTCGTTCGACGATTTGCTCATGAAGTACTTTCTCGTCAAAAACAATATCGCGATGATTTACTTGTATCGTGTTTACAATTTATTATTTCATTACCATCGGAATGTATCGATTATGATTTTGCTGATTATGTGCCAGCTATACAAGTAAAAATTACAATTAAAAAACGAAATCCTCCAAATGATTCTATTTCAGATTGCTTTAAGTATTGGTTTAACTTATTTACCGTTAGCTGAACAGACAATCAATAGTCTTGAACGATGGTCACAATCAACATCCTTGAATTTACCGAGTTTCTATAGCCAAATCTTACCTTATCTTGATGATTTTCTTCGTTTATCCTATGATCAAGGTAAAGAAAACGACAAGTCATGCTTACAATATTGTTCTGATAAGCATGCATAATTTTAGGTGATGATGTGAATGTTCGAGCTGTTGTATCGTCGTTACAAGAAAAAACACGTCTAAGTTCCAAAGGCAAACGTGTTTTACCAACACGAATGCTGAAAAAAACAAAACAGATAAAACACGTATGTTACTATTCTGAAGAGCAGATATTGAAATATCGTAACTTAGAACGATAGAATTACGAAGGATGTAAAACTGTTTTCACCGGGAAATCATACTGACACGAGGAATTTTACACTCATCTTTCGATAAATATCTAAAGAAAGTTATTTTCGTTTTAGCTCTTTGAAGATAGTGATATTCGTCGTGTACAATTTCGTATTTTGAAATATCTTGGTTCATTAGGCAATCGTGTAAATCATTATCTCATCGATGATACTTCAAATCATTTAATTAAAGACGCTGTCGCGTGGGATAATGAAAATCATTTGACATTTAACGTACCATTTGATGATATAAAACCAACGATTCATCTTGGTAAAAAGCAATACAACTTTTCGCAAGCCTCTTGCATAAGTTTTCTTACATTTAATTTAGATATTTTTCTGCCTCGTCTGGTCGATTTAGCATTGCACAGTTCCGATCGTCAAACAAAAATTACTGCATGTGAATTGCTTCAATCAATAATGCTCTATATGATAGGAAAAAGTGCAAATAATCGAAGCACTGCAGCAGTTAGTTAATCAGCAAACGAAAGCAAAAAAGGCGAATATCTACTCTTCTATTTAGGCTTCCTATGATAAATTGTATGAACATTTATTTCCTGTTGTACTCGAACTCTCCTGTGATTCAGATACAGTAATAGAATTTTCTGAATTCAAATTATCGAAAAATATTTCTCTCGAAAAATTTAGTTTACAAAAACATTATTCACTACATTTATGATTCAAATAATACATTGGTTTACTAAAAATCAAAACTATGAAAGTCCTGAAACAATGTCTCTGCTCGACACATTTATGGTTTCGAAATTTTCGCCTTTGAATTTTCCGATGAAAACGAATGTTGAATTTTTTTTTCTTATAGAATGGTATGATATCTGGCCGGAATGCGTCCATACGTGATTTTAGTGGTGTATGTCTAAAAGAATTTCTTAAATGGACGGTTAAACATGCCGGTGGATATGATAAATCAGTTTATTTAAAAAATGCTACATCGATTCTTAAACGAATTTTGAGTTTTGCACTGCATCCAAACAGTTTCAAAAGACTTGGATCGACATTAGCCTGGAATTCAATTTATATGCTTTTTCGGTATAAAAAAAATAATTCGTTGATCGCTTTGTATTTAAATATAAAATGATATTATAGAGAATCGGAAACATTAGTGGATGTCTATACTCTTCAATTGCTTTTTGTATTTGTTGAAAGTCTAGCCATCGCTCAGGAAGACGATCCATCGTTAGGTGAGTTTTGCAATAGATTTTGCTTTTGTAAACTGTGAGTTTTTGTTAGGTACTCAACAACAAGCCATAGGAGCTTTATCGCATATTGAAAGAATAATAAAAGAAAAATCACAATTATTCATTAAAGAAACGCCAAAACGGCATCGACCACCGTAGGCATTTTGTTAGAGAATTAGATTTTAACTTGACGTTCTCTCTTAGATCGTGGACTGAAGCCTCACTCGATGTTACAGTTCGATGGTTGCTTCGACAATGTGGACGAATTGAAACAGAATCTCGGCGGAAATGTATTGAACTTGTTTGTACATTTATTCCACTACTACCGGGTATGATAAAGAAAACAAATTTTCATTAAAAATATGCGTTTCTTTTAAACAACAAAAAAGGTATCCGATCAATACGAGAATATTTTGACTTGAAAATTAAATCAGACGGAAATATTTATTTCATTGAAAGGTAAGAAAAGATCTTGTCGATCATTGCATTTCATTTAGTCGATTAACTTTTAGATTCGAAGGTACAGCTAGTAAAGAAAAGAAAACGAGATTCAAAGCCAATCTGGCCAATCAAGCATGTCTAACTGATATGAATGAACAATTTTCTCTTCCGATGATCTATCAATGGCTTGATACAGTTATTGCCTCATTGGATTGTTATACATGGGTATTTTCACAAGGTTTTCTCAATCCTCTTCTATTTCAAGGTGACTGAATTATCACAAATATAGAAACTAGAACCTATTTTATTATTTTAGAGAATAATAAACGAAGTCGTTTGATTGAATCATTGTCATATTTTATTTCGAAAATATCGATGAATACACTTCACGATATTGTTTCTTATTTTCCATCGTCGAATCAATCCAATGTATTTACACCGAATGATGTTCATCAATTCGATACGTAAGCGATATTCGTATTCATTCGTTTTTTTAAAATTTGCGTTGTCTTTATCATATATTCAGTGCGAAATGTACTGTTATAGTTCGTCTACTTAATTTTATAACAGCGATTTGGACAAAATATCCGCAAGATACAAAACGTGCAATCGAAAGTTCATTCTATAGTAACGATTTAACAAAGTTAATTCTAACTTGTGTATTTAATCCAACACAAATCGGATTTGATATTAATAATGACGAAATCAATAAGAAACTACCAGAACGAGTTAGTCGTCAATTTTTATTAGATACTTAATTCAGATTTTCAATTATTTTAGATTCTTAGCTTACTCAAATCAATGACAACTCATTTACCCGAACAATTGCTACAACCATTACGTATCAATGCAGTTGAAATGACGAAATCCGATGGGTAAATAAAGTTTAGCATTGCTTAAGATCAAGTGTATAGTCAAGTCAAGATAAAGATTATGATAAGTTGCGAATCTCACACAAATTAATAGAAAATTCTTGTCTCATTGATGTTTATTGAAATTCAAATCGTTTCCATTTTTCTTTTAAAGGATGTACAACTTGAAAAATGAACTTGAGATGAATCCTGTTCGTTGGCCGCTTATATTTACCATCACACGTGGCCTTCGTCTCTTGTATGATGTTCGATTGTTAACTAAACCCAGTCAACCCGAACAATATGCTAAAGAACTTTGGACCGCAATGTTAGCGGTATTGATTTCATGTCAAATTATTCATTCAACGAAATAAAACTTAATTTTTCTATTTTCAGAAAATGATCACAAACGCCGAAGATTTTGATAGAGCCAACATTGTTTTAACAATTGATAATCAACGTGGTTTACAAGCTCTATTTGATTATATTATTTATTTAGGCATCAAGGTAATAAAATTCTGTTGCGCAGGTTGTAACAGGCATTCTTGAAATAAGCTAATATCAGACTATTTCCGTATTATGATCGACTTCAGCTATATCGTATTTTAATCCTCAATAGAACCGACTAACACTTTACTATTTTTTTTTACTATTTTAGCCCAATGAAGTGTTGCCAAACTTTTTTCGATCGAATCGTATTCATAGTGATTCTGGTATGGCAACTGTGGGAACCTATTTATTAACATTATTTAAACATCAGATAACAAGTTGGCTTGGTACAACTCCTCACTTTATAATAAATAATATAGGCGAAATCAAAACTGTTGATGAATGTCGTTTAATTGTTTCGTTTCTAACCACTGTTCTTGATCTATGCAGTCGAGACAAAGATATTCGTCAACAATATGGTCGCCAATTTGTCGATGGTATTTATACGTGTTGGCCATTGTTTGTTTTACTCTACCGTTCGACAAATATTGATGATAAATTATTAATTCTTACTCTATTAACAAAGACTTTTATTATCGATAGTCGTTTATTGATTGCACATGAACAATTCGGTCACGTGTCACAAATGTATTTATCATTATTAATCGATAAACAATTAAATTTAACATTTAAAACACGTTTGCTTGATCTCTTACCGTTTTTTGCATCGCTTGATACCGATGAAGATCTAACGGAAGATCGACGTAAGAAATGGTCCGATGATCTTTGTCGTACTTTACATACGTTTACAGCTGATTGTTTTCCATTGAAAAGTACCGAATTTCGTAAAGGTACACAAGAGTATCATGATTATCAAGGTGCAATAAGAAAAATTTTATCTGCACTTGAACTATCATCATCATTTATATTATTTGAATTATTGATTTGGATGTTATCATGTGAACAAAATCATGTATTTGAAGATGAAATTCTATCGTCAATAAATCGTTTTATAATTAAATTAAATGATCATAATAAACAGATGAACTTACTTGATTACATCTATTCAATATTATTTGGTCAAAATCCATTGTTTCGTCTTGAACATCGTTTAAATGCATTAGAAAAGTTTATATTAAAAATGTTAACATCAGTTAAAAAAAATACACTAATTGAATTTTATAAAAAATATATATCATTATTTGCTATTGAACAACTTGATATTAAAATTGATTTAACATCATCAACAATAACATCAGTTTTAATTAATAAAATTGCTACTTACCGTTTTATTGATTATATGTATACGATATTAAACAAGGATGATGTGTTCGGAGTTAATTCGCCGATTGCAAAAGTTTTCTATGAAAAAGTTAAACAACAAGAAGAAGCAAGAAAAACATTAAATATTGAAATGCCAATCACGGCCATTAAACTTGCTGCGACCTTGGATGGAAAAGAATTAACAAAGTATGTGATAGCAAGAGCTCGCGGACAATTTATTGATGGAAAAATGATTAAATCCATGGAAATGATGTTAATCAATGTGCCGGCAATGGAAAAAGAAACGAAAATGAATGCAATACGATCTCTAGCAATGAGTTCATTCAATTGTCTTATTTCAGTATTGATTTGTACACAAACAGAAGCTAAACTTTACAAAGCTTTTATTTTTGATGCGAATGCGTCCAAGGTAATTCTATGACATAGAGATTGACTTTTCCTTGTGAGGGTAGCCAAAAAATAGTGACACCTTTGATACAACACTGTAACCATGCATTCATGTCTAAAAAAATAGCAGCACAATCAGATTAAAATCTTAAACCTTTCAACTGGCTATTACAATAATTTCTTTATTCATCTTTTAGGATGAATATATCTTTGAAAATATAATCGATCCCGATCATAAATATACATTTCCTCTTGAACTCGAACGTTATTATAAAAAAGACAATCGTACATTGTTGAATATACTCTGTAAAAAAATTCGTACATCATCAAATTCTGATAGTCAACAACGTTCATCGACTACACCACGTTATTTACCATCGCAATATTTATTTGGTAGTAGTCTAACTGATGAATTAGCTGTTTTCGATTTTACTTCAGCAGCTGTTACACAACAACAAAGTGATTTAAATAAAAGTCAATCGAATTCTCTTGCGGAAAGTTCCATGGAAATCGCTCTTCATAAAAAAAACGATGATCGACCTGCATTAATCGAAGGTACAGATACTGATTTCGGAGCTGACTTTCTCGAACTGGAAATGGACGAACTCAACCTACATCCATGTATGGTACCGATGGTATGCTTACTTAAACATATGGAAACAAACGGTATCACACCTGTTCAATCTGATATGCCTCCTTGGATGATTTGTTTATATAAAAAATTCAGTGACGCAAGCATACCATTCAATATAAGGCTGTTTATCATGCGTCTTATAACACATACACATACAGTATTTAAACCTTATGCACGTTATTGGTTAACGCCAATCATTCAAATGTGTAATCAAGTGTTTGAAAAATCTTCCGAAGGTTTAAATACATTTCTAATCGATACCATTGTTATATTATTATCATGGAATTCCGTAGCCATACCAAGTGAACTTGACACAATGTCGGTACAACGTCTTTTAGAATATTTATTTCTTAATTGTACACATAAAAATTCTCTTGTTATGAAATCAAATTTAGATTTAATTAAAAAATTAATTGAATCCTGGCATCAACGTATTCACACGCCAACATTAATTGTTTACAAATTAATATCGGATCAAGATATTAAATCTAAACAAAATGCAATAGGTTTATCATTAATCGGAATTCTATTAGCAAATCAAATATTGCCTTATAATGAAGTAAATGATTTAACTGAAGATAAATTTAATGAAACATTATTAAAAAATATGAAAAATTCCTTTCGAAATATTTATGCAGCAGCGGCGGAAGTGGTTGGAATGTTATTAAATGTTAAAAAATTGAAAGGACAATCAAATCAACGTTTATTAGAACAATTAAGTTTTATATTAAAATGGCATAGTGGTCAAGGTTTACAAGATACATATGTGACATGTATTTATTCATTACAAAAACACTACCCGGAAATTGTTGATAAAACGTAGGAGATTTTATTTGAAAAACTATGAAAAGAAGTTTTCGTTTATTTTAGTGTTATGAATAAATTAATGTTCGGTTTGAAAAAATTATATGGAGATTTTAAAATGGAATGTTTAGAAGCACTGGTGGCTAATATCACGGAATTCGAATCGGCATATTTGGAATTGAAAGCAGCTGGAATACTTGATATTCTTATTCATAAGTAAATAGAGCATTTTTCTATTACGGAATAAACACTTATTGAGTTATCTTGGATTTCATAGTTGATATGATCTACATAAAAAAATAGTTGCATCACAAGAAAATCTTTTTAATGTCATATGCCAGTTCTTAGACATATAAAATTTACTTAATTGTCACTAAATTAGTAGAGACCATCAACTTTAAGGCAGTATTTACAGAACTCCGTTTTTATTCGTGTTATTTTTCTCTATATTTCATTTTTTAGAGATTTCAGTATTCGTTGTGTTGCATTACGTCTTCTACACAAACTTTTACCCCAACTAACTCACGAACAATTATTTGAAATAGTTCAAGTTTTATCGGTTGATGGTCCCAACGAATGTCAATATTGGACACTTGAAATTTCTAAATGGATGTACGATTATATAACACAACAAATAACAAGTGAAAAAAGCATTTCATCAAAACCTATATCGGAACCATTTTATCATCATGTACGCGAACAGTTACTTCAATTTCTCTCGAGTAAAAATGAATATATACGTGTTAATTGTCGTAACTTTTGGTGTGATCCAAAACGACTGAGTATATCATCACATCATCGTCTTATTGCCATGGTTGATCAGCTATATTCAATAAAAACTGAAAATGAATATTTAAATTATTGTACAAATTTTCTTCTTGAACGTACATCACATAATCCTGATTATAATCGTTTTATATTCGAAAATCCACTTGATAAATGTACATTTCAAGAATTCCCATTAGTATGTAATTGGCGACAACATCATCATACGTATATGACGCCATTATTTACATTGCAATCTCAATCTACAAATGATCCAATCAATACAAATATAATGACAGTAGATCCAGTTCATTATATGCAAACATTAACAGATAATAATAATCGAATGGATCAACAAAATAATGCAGCAGCAGGAATGATTTTACAAACACAGGAAATATCGAATCGACAACAATTCATGCCAACACAAATGTTAGACAAGAATACAAATTATAATTGGCTTAAACAAACGAATACATTTGATACGTCAAATACTTATGTTTTGCCCACATTATCGACTCAAGTTAAAACAACATCATTAATAGTTAATGTTGAAAATGCAAATAAAAAATCGAAAATAAATCCATCGGATAAGAACGATACGAATGACGATGATATATTTCGACTTAAACGACGATTTCTTAAAGATACTGGCAAATTACATGGCTATTTTGCACGTAAACAAACAGAGAAAAATCAAAAAGAAAAGCAATTTCTCAACGAAATTAAACTCAAACAAGAAAATCAAGTTGAAAAATATCGTATCTATCGTATTGGTGAATTGCCCGACATTCAAATTCGTGTCAGTGATATTATTATTCCTTTACAAGCACTGGCTCAATACGATAATCATATTGCTCGGCTGCTCTATTCGAATTTATTTACATCCATATTAACTTCTCTCGAAGATAAACTTTCTAGTGGTGAATATACCGAACTGATAGAAACGATTCAACATCGTTTTAATGCTATGTTGTCTCAATCGGAAATATTCTATCCATCATTTGTCATGTCCTTACTTGATATCACATTGTCGAAACCTAAACATCTAAAAATTTCCTCGCAATATGTCAGTGCAGCAGCGATAGCCAGTCATTTGGAGCCCATGGGCATATTAACATTAGAATGTTTTATTCGTTTGAATCAAGCAAATGAACCGGATGATATAACACATGAATCAGTAAAAAAGAAATTCAAGTCCGATCCTGATTCAAATAGTCAATCATATAAACATGTTGATTATTGGCTTGAATTAGCTAAATGTTATCGTTCGATCACAAATTATGATGATGTACGTGGTATTTTTTGTCAAATTTCTTCACTAAAATCATTAACATTAAAAGCTATCGAAGAAGAAAGTCACTCTGATTTTCTGTCTGCTTTAAACAGTTACGTCACAGCATTAGAAGAGTATCCTTTAACAGACGATGCAGTAAACGACCAAATACTAGAATTAGAACACGAATTTTGGACACAATCAATGCTTAATTGTTGTAATCAACTAAATAATTGGTCAATTATGTCTAAACATATATTTATTGCTAATACAACATTTGATACACTCTGGTCAAATGCATATCAATTAAATTATTTGATGCCGTACGCAATACGTTCGAAACTTAAATTACTTATATCAGGTACAGAACAAGAACAATTAGAACAAGAAGGTCTTTGTCAATTCTTTAACAATCTATCATCAACTACAAATGCTACACCGGCAACAACGACATCCGATACAGAAACAACATTTGTAAAACGTTCTTATATCGAAAAACAATATCCATTTGAATTGGCGACCTATTTTCTTTATCAAAAAGATTTCGATCGTAAGCAAAGGAATTTTAATCCGCAGAGGATTTTGTTTTGCTGTTAATGAACTGTATGTCAGAAATATTGTTTTTCAGGTTCAAAATATTATATTCACTATGCCAAAGAACAATTTTTACTGCGTTGGTCTCAATTAAGTCGTTTAAGTGAATATGGCCGTAAAACTACGATACAATTAATTCAACCCTATCATGAACTTGATCAATTTCTTGTTTTCATCGAACATAATCTACCTCTTCTTAAAAGCCTCGAAAATCGCTATTTAACAAATAATAAAAACGATGCAGCAACTCGTGATCTATTTCAAGAACGTATACAAAACGATTTACTTTCACAATGGAAATTGCCTGATGTTATTCGTAGTTCAATTCAAACTTGGGATGATATTGTTACCAATCGAGCTCTATTTTTAGACGTAAGTCACACAATTTAAATATTGTCAATAAAAAAAGAACTTGCTCTTCATTCAATTTTAGATTCTCGATGAATTGGTCGGTGGACCGCGAATGACCTTTACAAGCCGTTTAAAAGCCATTGAATTCGATCCTATACTTATTGATTATAAAGTCCAATCATCGCTCGATGTGGCCTATTGTGCATTGCGTCAACGAAATTTTAAATTAGCTTTATCAAAATTAAATGATACACGTAATCGACTTGATTTATGTCAAAATCCATCGATTAAATCTATTTATTGGAATGAAATCTATTGTGATGTGCATTTAAAGCGTCATCAAATTCAATCATCAGTATCGACTCTATCAAGTTTATTATCAACGCTGGTTGCTAAAGAACTAAAAAAAATGGAAACTAAAATAAGTTCATTACAAATTATTGATGAACAAACAGCATCATTAACTTCAACTTATATACAATTGAATTCACAATTTTGCCGAACAGTCATTGATTTTCTACTTGCACAACCGAAGACTTATTTTGACTATGAAAATGACGATAGAATTTCTTCAGCTAGACATCGACAATTAGAAATGTATTTATACGGTTTAGACGATCATACAACAAATATAGAAACAACAGACGTATTAATCCATGAGTTGTTCAATAAAAGTGTTCAAATATTAAAAAATAATATTGAGAAACAAGAGACCGATTTACAAAATTTAGCGGTAAGCATATAGTCATTGAATACAATATAGAAATTTTGGAATTGTAAAATCTTTTGAATGCCGAATTTCCTTTCTGAATAAAGTCGAAAGCTTGAATCATTTTTTATATTTAGACAAATATTCGTCAGGCAAAAGAAAATGTTCTCAGTCGTGATTACAATGAATTGGCAAGTCTTTGCGATGATTATCTACGTCGATATGAAAATAATGAAGATGAAGATCATCTAATGGATAGATTATTTTCCGGTGATAGTAGTAATAAAATAGCCGAAATTATCGTTAAATCGATTCTCTCATCAATGAAATATGGTTCAAACGAAGGTGTTAAACGGTTTTCACGTTTATTACAAATAATTGAATTATATCCAAATACAATGGAATCAGTCGCCAATCATTTACAAGAAATTCCGTGTTGGATGTTTTTTGATTGTCTATATCAAATAACAGCATACTTAGATAAACCCATAGGGTAAATAATAGAAGAACTTCTTCTAATAATAAGGATTCCTTATATTTCTTTTTGTTAGTCTTAAACTGTATCCATTAATTGATGAAATAGTGAAACTTTATCCGCAATCAATTGTTTATCCATTTAAATTAAGTTATGAAACACTTCAACATTCGACAAAGGATCCAACATTGAAGCGTAATCTTGACATCATTCGTCATAAATTAGATCGTCATACACCGCTTGTCAATGAATTTATTCAAGCATTAAACCAATTGAATCCTCAACAAGAATATGAAAACTGGTGTAAAGAACTATATCAACTGTTAACCAACGATCGCAATACGCGAGATATAAATAAACTGAAAAATCATTATAAAAAATTCAAGGAAATTCTTTTTTCGGATCTTATGGCTCATGATGAAACAAACGAACAAACTGCGATGACAATAACATCACAAGATAGTGTTTTCAATGATGGTAAAGATCAACGTTTACTAAAACCTCGATTAACATCAATTCGTTTTCAATTTAAAAATACCGTCGAAAAAGATTTCGATAATCTTTTTGGTAAACACGGTGAATTGTTTTCTACGGTATCATTAACAGATGTGAAATCGGTATTGACAAATCTTGGCACGAAATTAAAATCTATAGCACAAGATAAAACAAACATAAATGATTATTCAACATGGTTTTCATTGACGTTTCGACAACAACATCGTCTAATAGGAACACCATCATTACGCGAGATAGAAATACCAGGTCAATATACAAGTAAAAAGAAACCATTCGTAGAACATCATATTAAAATAGTTGGTTTCGATGAAAAAATATTGGTACTACAATCATTGCGACTACCGAAACGTTTAACTATACGTGCTCATGATGAAAATGATTATCCATTTTTAGTTAAAGGCGGAGAAGATATACGACAAGACCAACGTATTGAAGCGTTATTTTCAATAATGAATGATCTCTATGCCGATGATCCTAATTGTAATCAATCAAATTCAGCACATATTGCTGTACGAACATATAAAGGTAAACATATGCCTACCGAGTTCGTTTTAGATTTACGAAATAACTGTTTTTTTTTATAGTGATTCCAATGTCATCAAAATTAGGTATGATTGAATGGCTTGATAATACACGTCCATTAAAAGAACTTATTGAATCAAGTTATACACCTGCTGAACAAGCTATTATTGCACAAGGTCAACATCCACGAAAACTTTATCAAGATTATGTTACAAAAGTATTTCAAAATGCTAAGCCAACAGCTAAATCAACTAGTAATACAATTATGTATGCCGAATTATTTCTTAGTTTAACAAAAGCACAAGTCGAAGATGAATTTAATAAAATTCAATCGGTGATACCAAGTGATTTACTTCGACGTGCTTATTATAAAATAGCAAATTCGCACGAAGGATTTTATACATTGCGGCGACAATTTATTACAAGTTATGCTGTTCTATGTACCAGCCATTATATTCTTGGCATTGGTGATCGACATCAATCAAAGTATGTTCAGTGTATAGAATATATTCTGAATATTTATCAATCTATTTAGTTTTCTTATTGATACATCATCAGGACAAGTTATTGGCATTGATTTTGGTTCTGCATTCAATGCTGCAACTATTGTAAGATAAAATTCAAGTCATAAAATAACATTTCTAATTTTAATCGGTTAGCATTTACCTGTTCCTGAACTTATTCCTATTCGTTTAACACGACAACTTATTCAATTAATGTCACCCATTGGTACTGACGGTCTTTTTCGCGCAACAATGATACATACGATGAATGCTTTACGTGAAAATTCAGATTTATTACTTAGTACAATGGATGTTTTTATTAAAGAACCTCTTATGGAATGGATGGTAAATCTTACTTGTTTTTTGTTATTGCGCTTATATAATTTATTATTAGGAGCATGCACTTAAAGCAAGCAAACAAGTTACACAAAGTGGTAGGTTTGAATAAATATGGCAAATACGAAAGAGATAAATATGTGCTTTGTTTTAGAATCTCCAACGGTTCGTTCCGATGATACATATGCTAAAGATCGAATAAAAAGTGCACGGTTAAAACTCAATGGAATTAATCCAGCAGTTATTCTTGGGTATGAATTAAAAATATATGATTTTCTTTGATTTATTTATTTTAATTTTAGTTCTGATCTTAAATTAAATAATTTTCTTCGTCCATCGGCTTTGAAAGACGCACTTCGTCAGATGGAAAAAGTTGTTGGCGGTGATCAAATACATAATAAACGTGCACAAATTCTAATGCAATATGAATCAAATCGTTATCATAAGTTAACAGTCGATGAACAAATTGATTGTATTATTGATCAAGCAACTGATGTTGATATACTTGGTCGATCCTGGGCTGGCTTAGAAACATTTATGTAATTCCATGCAATCCTCTCTATGACATTTTTCTCCCATTTATTCTTAATATTCACACACTTTATTTTGATCGATTAGTTCTTTTTCTCTTGATGCAGATAATTAAATTGAAATTATATTTTTGCTGTTGTTGTGTGTACACGGTGATGATTATTTTTCTCATTGTGTTACTTTAATGAGCTCGTTTCTTTATTTTCCTATGAAGCCAAATAATAAATACGAAGCAAAGAATAAATTTTCGATATATTTGGCAGATCGCTAGTATTTAGAGTGTGGGTATCGGAGTAAACAGAGGATCAGTACCAATATTGACACTCACACCCTTTGTGGTTCCGTAGTGTCGACGTTTTCCCCCCATTACATCAAAGCTACAGTCACATTGTAAGCGATCGCAACGTATATTCAATCAATTCACACATGCTTCTACTTCCTCGCAAGAAGATTTCTGCTTTTAAAATCATCACACGATGTGATTCATTAAACAAATTGTTCTTTCGATTCTTCGTTGATTCTAATGAAATCTTCGAAGCACGAAATAAACTGACACTTGGATGCCGAATGCCATACATGGCGGACTCATTAGGCTTCGGGAGGCTCAAGCCTCCCCTAAAAAATGGAGAAGAAGGCTTCGGGAGGTCCATTTAATTTGAAAAAAGTTGTAGATCTCATCTTTAATGTAGACACGATTGACAAAATTTCGATAGATTGTTCTTTAATACTTAGTCTATTGCTCATGAAGATTAACAAAATGATAAAAAAAACTGCTAAAAAAAGGTAAATACGACGCAGAATTTTGATTGGTGACAACCCATGTCATAAAAATTGCGATTAATTGCCGTTTTGGTTCAATATCGTGATTAATCGGCAAAAGTGACGCGATTTTTATGACATGGGAAGTGTCTCATGAATTTTTAAAATGCATGTTAGGGTGATCAGTAGAAAATGTCTTTTATCTTTGTTTTTGTTTGCTCTACTCTCCTGAAATTTGTTTTAGGATTTTTGTGTTCTTATTGATCATTTTCTGAAAAGTAAATATTACAGTAATATTTTTCATTATTTTACAAGCTTTGAGAAAAGTAGAATCAGAAGTAAATTATCAACAGACCACCTATTAGTACCAGATTTTTTCGTTTTTAATTTCACCTCTCATTATCCTCATCGTCTGAAAAAAATTTTGAGCCTCCCTTAGAGTGAAATCGTTCCGCCGCCGTTTCCGAATGCATTGCAACCGCTTATTCAAAAACGAAAGATGAATCTAAGAAAAGTCTATGTGCTCTATGTACTTAGCGTTTGTGGATGTGGATGGGTGTGTGTGCTAGTATGGGCGTTGATTTCATTTTTGGCTTTCTTACATCCACACTGACGCCCATATTCACCCCCGCACCCACACCCACCCAAACGAACCTTCACTTGGATCGATTTTGATCATAGCATAAGCATATAATATTATGAATAGATATTTTATGTTTTTCCATTTAAAATATGCCTTGTGCATAAAAAACTAAAGACGGATTCTACATTTGATTTTTTTTTTATTTATATGATATTAGCGTTTTTCAACAGTAATGAAACGAGAAAAAACATTTTTCCTTTTCTCATCCGTGCGGTTATTTTTAGAGGTACAAGCCGATAGAAAGATCGACGACGACGATGAAAACTTTTTAACTTTTTTAAAACTTCGGCGGCAACTGTAAAAGACAATCTATTTTAACGTTCACGACGACGGTGGCGGCAGCTCACTCGCGTGGCTTACATCTCGAGTTATTCTGAGTACTGTTCGACACTTTCTGAGAAAAATCAGAAAGATTTCCTTACTGTAATTTTCTTTTTTCCTTTTAGTTCTCATGACACTTCTAGTAAGAGGATTCACTCGTCAAATTATTCTCTTCTCTTTGCTGTTTTAAATCATATATTCTCATAGTTGTGCGTCTCCATGCAGACAATCGAAATCGACTGGCCCGATTTGATTTTTCTGTGTTGTCATTTATTTATGTTCGTAACCAATCTTGATTTCATCGGAGAAAAGAAATGCAGTGTACTGTTCTCCATTCTATTGCATCAATAATTTAACTATTTTCTGACAGAAACAGAGACAGTCAGTTTACTTTACTTCTTTTGTTTATTCAATTAGTCCGATAGTTGCCGGAGATTTTACAGAAGTAACAGGATGAAAAAAACTGCTTTTTTTTCTTTTTTTCATTTGGTTATTCCAAGAATTGCTCGCCATTTTTCTGAGGCAAACCTAAAAGGTGAGTTGCGTTTAATTTTGTCTTTCATCATTGAGTTATCCTGAAAAAGAACGCGTATTTTATAATAAGAAGACTTGAATAAGTTAGTTGCGTGTTCTTTTTTTCTAATAATTATACTCCTATTTCGTTCACTTATTTTGAAAGAAATAGGAAAACGTACTTTCATTTCTGTTTCAGTGTTCATTTATCATACAAATTCTGGGTCATTCCATAAAGGAAATTTAATTAGACTATTAACCTTACTTTGGTTTTCTTCATTAAAGCATTCTAAGAGTTGTCGAATATCATATCGGAATAAATCGAACAGGTTAACTTTGTTGCTCTATTTATTTCAACGATAAGTTCATTGGGTCTTAGGAGAGAAGAAGAATAAATTAGTTCGTTTTCTGGATTTAGATCGAACAGATATTTGAAGAGCGGGGGCGTGGGTGTAGAGTGTGAGTGCTCTTGTGGATCTGTCATATAACATGTGCACACGGACATCTAAACTCACAGCAACACTGACACTCACAGCCCGCACCTGCACCTGCACCCCGTATGAACTGCTTTTGTATTGCTCTTCTGGGAGAAAGGAAATTAACAGAAAATAGAAAAAGATGTTGCATGATGAGGAGGTTGCAAGAACTTTTTGACGGGTGTTTGATATTTGGCTTTTCCTTGTTCTCGCACTCATTCTGGAAAAATATGTTAGGTACGAAATTTGTAGTTCAAACTTCGCTCTGTCCAACAAAAAAATAATCGATTCAAATTCTGCAATATTTTCTAACACACCTTGGTATTTTTGCACAAGACTTTTTCTCACATGTTAATTTCTGAATTAATTAATTTAACAGTAATTTCAATTTAATTGAAAGAACCAGGAAAATAGCACCGTTGGTAATCATGTATATGCTACTTTGCTACTTTTTTTTATTATGCAAAATTAAACCCTCTGGCCATGTCGGTCCGAAAGGGACAATGCAGCTTACAATTAACAGGTTACACAAAGGGAGAAAAACAAGCATAAGCAGAGCAGAGAAAAGCACGGAATGTAATGTATGTTTTATGTGGTCATTCAATGAAACATTTGAAATACGACCTTCCGACGTGCACATACATTCCACCAAGATAATATATGATGTGTCTAACCAGTTTGCTTGTACGGTAAGATTGAAGACAATGAGCTTGTACAATATATTTTTAAGACTGTGTACTTTGTGCGGAGGGAGAAATCGAACCTCGCACACTATTTTCGAGTCAGAGACGCACCCCATTTGGCCAGGGCTCCCGCTACTACTTCGTTACTTCTTGCAAGGCTATTATGCGTGATTGCAGTTACTCATCTTGCACTTGCACCGTCCTACTCTCAAAGAATATATTTCTTCATTTTAGAATTCGGTGCTGATTCCTTTATTAAACCTCCATCAGAAATACTAAACAGTAATATCTTTTCGACGGTAAACCTTAAACAGAACATTAACATGTAAGTGATTCCAGAGTGTGTTTGGTAAAATGATGAGGCACTAAAATATGCTTTTCAGAATCATTATGGTTTGTAATTGCTGTGGTACGGCTGGTAAAAACGCACGAGGCTGCTCGTGCCAAGGTGGCAAGAGCCATATGTGTCGGAATATCATTCTAGAACCACTACCTCAGTTTGACGACATCTGGTCAGTTGGAGCAATTAACGCCGATAGTTCTAATCGAAGAGCCGTAGTTCGCACTTGGCAACAACTTGGAAACAATATGGCAGATTATGTTTCGATTCAGGAAGATGGGTTGCAGAATCCGGCAATATTGTGCATAACGGAATTGTCACCGATTAAAGGAGCTGAATTATTTTTTGAGCGTCTGAATCAGAATAACAATAGACCTCGTTATGACCACATCATCGATAAATTACTTCCCGCAGAGTACATATCTGTGTGCTGGAATGCTGCTTTATGGAAAAAGGTTGACATAACATATGAAACTAATTCTAACACTGATTACATTGTTAGTTCATACGGTCGCTATATGGCAATTTGTCTTCAAACGATGGGAGCAAACCCATTGAAAATGCTTCTTTTTGCAGTGCATCTGCCACACAAGCGTGGACGCGAGCGTGCCAGGGTATTGCTAAAAGCAGCTACTCTTAAATTGGCACAACTCAACAAAACTCAAGCGGTGGCCATAATTGGCGACTTCAACATTGCTTTTGACTCCAGCAAACATCTTTTCTTCCGATTTAGTCTACAATTACGAAGTCACCTTTAAATAAGAGCAGTCGCAACTGATAAAAACGACTAGGGCAGACGAGAGCCTTCCCACGCCTGAAAATATCCACTTTTTGAATCAAATCATGTTAATGAATGCATAGAATTATTCTCAGTCACTAGTCTAACAAATCTCTCGCTCGGATTTTCGAGATTCGACGACATTTCACGCATTTTTTTATAAAACTATTCCCGTTTGATTTTATCCAGACACGCTTGGAAATATGTGGTTGTGAATGTTCGCGTTTGTAGGGATCAGATAAGGGAATTTGTGACATTCATCCTCACCCACGTTCTGATCCACATCCACACAAACACTCACACCCACATCCAAAGTACTATATCTTGCCTTATTGAATTGGAAGTATTACTTACCACTTACCTAGCAAGTGGTAAGTGATAAAAATTATGATGCGGAAATAAATAATTGATAAGTAAACTAATACTTGGTCACTGCTATGTACAATATTTTTCAATTATAAAAACAATTACTGTTACTTTGATAAGTGGAATTGACAGTAATCGGAAGGTTAACACCTGTTACTCATACCCACTCATCCCATACTCACTCTAGCCACGCTTGCATACCGGACCAAAATCATACCAAACCCGATAACATATCTAACCGCACGCACTCATGCAGCACCCCACAGACAATTATAAATCTACCCACACTCATCCATTTCTACACTTACAGTGATGAATTCATGTTTTTATACCTTATACGTGTGGTCTAAGAATAAGTTAAGTAATATCTGAATTCCTTTTTTCCTAGTTTCACCGCATTATTTTTCAACAGACCGACAACCCAGAATGGTCGTTCTATTGATAATGTCTTGGTGAATGACTATTTGGCGGACCGTGTGAGAAACTACCGGCCCCATATTCATAATGACTGTCAACTATTCTCACATCATCCGATTTGTATGCATAGACCATAGTGATTTATCAGACACTGCACTTTCGATTTTCATACAGAAAAACGTAGTTTTACAAAAATAGATTATTAAGGACAATAAACAAGTGTCATTCTTTTTACCGAAAAACCTACAAACGACATCTCACTCAGCTTGATGAACTCTATCTAACCATCTATAAAAAAAAAGATTTGCACTATTCGCACCATACGTTATCTTCTTTTAATTTCTAATTTAAAAATTCACGTTCACTAAAAGATGGAATTGTTTTTTTGTTCAATATTTTCTGCAACTCGTCATATCTTTTTCACTATACAGCTCAAAGAACAGAAAAAAAATCTAAAATAATCAACCAGTGTTCTATGAAAATCATGATAAAAATTGAAACCATATAATTCAAATGCTTTGGAAATTCGAGATATGAGATTTTTTTCTTCTATACAGCGTTACAGCATAGATCTAGAGTCATCGACTCCCTCGAGATTTATACTGAAAACCAGAAACCCTAACTCGTTTTATTTTCGAAATAACTATAAAGACTTTCTACAGGTTAATATGATCGCCATTCGTAGTCCATGAAACATATTTTTTTAACTGAATCGTAATTAGAACGAATCATAGATTCGTGGTAGTGATATCAGGATATATAGAATTGCGTATGTATATATCGAGATAATTAATCGATATCAAATTATCAAAGCTTATAAGTGGTACAACCAAGAAAGTTTGGATAATACCGAACTGTAATAATTTATTTAATAATTAGTTTAGAATAAACAAGACAGCAATAACGTTGATAATAATATATGTATGTGTTACACACAACAAATGCACACAATGTGATTCTATTTGTACGATTTTTGACATAACCAAACTAAACTATAACTAACACTCAACAAGACTGAACACACACTACTTTCCACAAACTACTCTCTACTAACAACTGCTTTAATAATACTGCTTTAATGCTACCCTCTATTTCATATAGAACGCGAGTTTATATACTAGAGAGAGAATAAGAAAAATATAAATAGAAGAGAGAGAGAGAAACAGAGAGAGCGAGAAAGAAGAATATACTTAGAGATAAAAGGTATTGAGAGAGAATGGGATACAGAGAAAGAAGAAGATATACAGAGAGAAAAGATCAAGGGGGAAAAAATTCATTCGGGCATTCCCAACCATTCCCAGCCATTCCTAGCCATTCCCAACCATTCCTAGCCATTCCCAGCCATTCCTAGCCATTCTCAGCGATTCTCAGCCATTCCTAGCCATTCGCAACAATTCCAATATATTCCTAGCTATTCTAAAATTTTCTCAAATAGGGATCGACCATTTTTCTTAATGGGACTTTGAAGTCGTGTTAGTTAACATGAAACTTAAGATGTTTTTTCTTCTTAACACTTCATACTTGTAATTTATTGTTAATTGAGGATATTGAACTTAATTTTAGATTAATGTAGATGGTCCACCCCTACTCTCATGTAGTGTTATTTTTCATAAATTACTATATCTGTCTTTAGAACCTTGTCATTTTCTAAAGGTCATAGGTTTACATTAAAGTCGATTTACAT